CGCGGAGATAGGTCGGTTTTAGAGCGGCGGAGTTATGTCGCTTCAAAACGACATAATCTCCATGATCAACGGCGGAGTTATGTCGTTTTAAAACGACATATCTTCGCGCGGATATATGTCGTTTTTAGAGCGCGGATATATGTCGTTTTTAGAGCGGCGGAGTTATGTCGCTTCAAAACGACATAATCTCGCCATGATCAACGGCGGAGTTATGTCGTTTTGAAACGACATATCTTCGCGCGGATATATGTCGTTTTTAGAGCGCGGAGATATGTCGTTTTTAGAGCGGCGGAGTTATGTCGCTTCAAAACGACATAATCTCGCCATGATCAACGGCGGAGTTATGTCGTTTTGAAACGACGTATCTTCGCGCGGATATATGTCGTTTTTAGAGCGCGGATACATGTCGTTTTTAGAGCGCGGATATATGTCGTTTTTAGAGATCGGAGATATGTCGTTTTTAGAGCGGCGGAGTTATGTCGCTTCAAAACGGCATAATCTCGCCATGATCAACGGCGGAGTTATGTCGTTTTGAAACGACACATCTTCGCGCGGATATATGTCGTTTTTAGAGCGGCGGAGTTATGTCGCTTCAAAACGACATAATCTCGCCATGATCAACGGCGGAGTTATGTCGTTTTGAAACGACATATCTTCGCGCGGATATATGTCGTTTTTAGAGCGCGGATATATGTCGTTTTTAGAGCGCGGATATATGTCGTTTTTAGAGCGCGGAGATATGTCGGTTTTAGAGCGGCGGAGTTATGTCGCTTCAAAACGACATAATCTCCATGATCAACGGCGGAGTTATGTCGTTTTGAAACGACATATCTTCGCGCGGATATATGTCGTTTTTAGAGCGCGGAGATAGGTCGGTTTTAGAGCGGCGGAGTTATGTCGCTTCAAAACGACATAATCTCCATGATCAACGGCGGAGTTATGTCGTTTTAAAACGACATATCTTCGCGCGGATATATGTCGTTTTTAGAGCGCGGATACATGTCGTTTTTAGAGCGCGGATATATGTCGTTTTTAGAGATCGGAGATATGTCGTTTTTAGAGCGGCGTAGTTATGTCGCTTCAAAACGGCATAATCTCGCCATGATCAACGGCGGAGTTATGTCGTTTTGAAACGGCATCGATTGTGAAAAATCTCCGCGCGGAGTTATGTCGTTTTGGAACGTCATATCTCCCCGCAGAGCTATTAACCAAGATATTAAAAAAATTATCAATTAGATGGAATTTACGGTTTTTTGTCAACAACATTTTTAAACCCATCGATGTTTAATTTCTTTGAATGCCAATTGATGGTAGGGATCCGTAATCATTCAAAAAGGAATAGCATTTTAAAATCAGACATTATTTTCCCAAGATATTAAAAAAAAATCATCGAAAAAGTTTCGATTTTCGCACCGACTTCGATTTTGAAAAATCTCCGCATGGAGTTATGTCGTTTTGGAACGTCATATCTTCCCGCAGAGCTATTAACCAAGATATTAAAAAAATCATCAAAAAGATGGAATATTCGAACGAATCGTTTTTTTGTGAAAATATTTTTCAACCCATCGATGATTAATTTGTTTGAATGGCAATTGATGTAGGGATCCGTACGCATTCAAAAACGAATAACATTTTAAAATCGGACATTATTTACCCGAGATATTAAAAAAAAATCATCGAAAAAGTTTCGATTTTCGCACCGACCTCGATTTTGAAAAATCTCTGCGCGGAGTTATGTCGTTTTGGAACGTCATATCTCCTTGCAGAGCTATTAACCAAGATATTAAAAAAATCATCATAAAGATGGAATTTAAGGTTTTTTGTCAACAACATTTTTAAACCCATCGATGTTTAATTTCTTTGAATGCCAATTGATGGTAGGGATCCGTAATCATTCAAAAAGGAATAACATTTTAAAATCAAACATTATTTACCCAAGATATTAAAAAATAATCATCGAAAAAGTTTCGATTTTCGCACCGACCTCGATATTGAAAAATCTCCGCGCGGAGTTATGTCGTTTTGGAACGTCATATCTTCCCGCAGAGCTATTAACCGAGATATTAAAAAAATCATCAAAAAGTTGGAATTTTCGAACGAATCGTTTTTTTGTGAACAACATTTTTCAATCCATCGATGATTAATTTGTTTGAATGCCAATTGATGGCATAATCAGACATTATTTACCCAAGATACTTATTAAAAAAAAATCATCGAAAAAGTTTCGATTTTCGCACCGACCTCGATTTTGAAAAAAGGAACTACTTTTAAACTTTTAAAAAAGGAACTTAAAAAACGGAACTTAAATAGCATTACAGAAAAAAGTCGCAATAACCATGCTGTTAAAATGCGAAGCAGACGCGCATGAATGTGTGTTTGTACGTGTACACAGAAATTCTTAAAGATGCTGCTCTATTCAATTGCGCAGTTGCATATAACTTTATAAAATTTTCTGCAGTATATCTTATTGCATCATAGAATATTTGTGTATACTGAAAAAGTCAATTGCATTTCAATTTTGGCTTAAATTGGTTGGCAATAAAAGTTGGGTTATTAACTTGATTTATAGCTCTGGGGTGGTAGCGGAGAGGTGGCGATAGGTATAAAATGAAAGATACTTGACAAATATATAATATTTTAGAAGCAACATACCATGTTTCGTGACTCTAGCTCTTATTATTTACCAAAATTGCCCAAAATGCAGGATATCGATATCGATTTTTTTGGATTGCTTGGAAACGGAGTAAGTTATCGATTATCAGAAACAAACTCGATCTGCGCAGGCACTAAGAGCACCTTCATCTAAAATTTCAACGGACGGACGGACAGACGGACGGACGGACGGACAGACGGACATGGCTAGATCGACTCGGCTATTGATGCTGATCAAGAATATATATACTTTATGGAGTCGGAGTTGCTTTCTTCTGCCTGTTACATATATTTGGATTATGCACAAATACAATACACCCTTATACCCATTTTTAATGGGTTCAGGGTATAATAAATATAAAATGAACCAGTCATTCCATATAACAGCTATAGAAAGCGTTCAGTTCCGTAAGCCTCGGGCTTTACCTATTAGCTAACGAGCTCCTGAGGTTTACCCAATTGAGTGGATCGCAATGTGTGTGAAATCGCAACGCAATCGAACTACCAACAAAAACAAGGCGACAAGTTCAAGTGTGCGGCTCAACTCTGTGGGGCTCAATCAAATTGATTGACGTCTTAAGAACCGTTAAATTTAAAGCTGAAATATTTTTATTTTGGTTACCTGGTTGTGGTGGTGGTGGTGCTGCTGCTGCTGGGTCTCGTTATCTAAAGTCCGGCGGACAGTTGTTGCCAATTACCTTTGTTCTCAGTGATTAAGTTTATTGTTATTTGAGTTTTGTGTCGCGTTGCCAAACAATAAACATTCTCTTTGCTCGCTGTCTGCTCTCTCTTCTGCCACACGCACACACACACACACACACACACATACGTACACACGTACACACACACGTACGCACGCACGCACATTGCTGTAAAAAGGTCGCATGATACGCTCGAAGAGCAACACACGCTCCAGCGACTCACGTGTCAGCGATGTTTCCAACTGTTCGCGTCTGCTGGAGCATCCGAGCGCCGCCAGTCAGTACAATGTTGTCCATAGCCATTTTTTGCCATACGTGCCAACCACAACAACAGCGGCCAGTGTTGCCAACGCCACAACGACCTCAACGTTGACGCCAACGCCGACGCCGACGCCGACGCCAACGCCAGCGTCATCGAACACCGTGACGACCACGTATGTGTCGTCGCCGGGCACGGCGCCCGCCTGCGGCATGACTGCCAATCCGGCTGCCAATAAGTTTTAGTCTTATGCCACATATATCCAATGCAGCCATATCAGTACCAGTTCCAGTACCAGTTCCAGTTCCTGAACCAGTTCCCGAGGTATGCAGCGACGTTGTTGTAGCCACCATTTTTGTTGAATGTGTTGTTTAGCTGTGTTATGCCCAGTGTCCTGTAAATTGTAGTTGCTGTCTTTGTTGTTGTGTCAAAACTGTTGTTGTAAGAACCTAACATTAGAGCTAAGACGTAGTGAGAGTTGCCGTTAACTTCTATAACAAGTAACCAAGCTCCCAAAAACTATAACAATTACTAATCCCATGTATGCGCCACCAGACACTCCACACACAACACGCAAGACACACTTAATGTTTCGATTATGGCTAAAGTTTAGCTTCAAGCTAAAGCTAATGTTAAAGCTAAAGTTACAGATTTAGTTGTTTAGTCTGCTCTCTATATGCTATGTACACTCAGACACCTCAACTGAAGATTACGAAACTGTCATAGTACTTCCAAAAAAAACACACACTTGCGAAACCATATACCATATAAATATATTATATATAAATAGTGTTTAGCAGCGTCTGTATTTTGTTTTCATTTTCATTTCAATTCCCGTTTCCGTTTCCGCTTTTTGTTTACAGTTTTAACGCACGCCATTTTCCGACTTTTAAGTATGCTTGTGTAACTAGTTTTATATGACTTATCCGGCTTTGCCTAATCTTTTTATACTCTTGCAAATAGCATGAAGAAGATTCCGTCCACTTTATTAGATATATATATTATTGATCAAGACGAAGGCATTCTCCTCTATCGTCTTTCCGTTCCACGTTTCCGCATATCTGCAAGGGTATTCAAGCTTCGGCACTCCGAAGACAACTACTATTACCTATTAATTGCTTATTTTATAACTAAGAAAGCGTAGTATCCAAGTATTTGTGAACGTAGTGCGTGTTTCAATGTAGTCTTGTGCTCGTTCGGATGCATTTGTGTTCCTTCAGTTGCCCACGGGCTCCACATGAGTTAGCTGAATGCCAACCTTACCGGCGCCTGAGTGAATGCCGGCTACACCTGCCATGTTGTAAACGTTATTGTTGTCCTTATACGTTTATTCATTGTCTGCAAACGAAAAAATGTAATAAACAATCGCTACGTGCTCCACTCCACAGGCTCCCAGTCGGACTCCCATGGCAGCAATGCATCCGCCACCTCGGTGCGCTCCAACCGCAGCAATTCGGTGGCGCCGGGCAAGGTATCCGGCGCTGGCCATCACGAGCGGCACGGCTCCTCGCATCGCCAGCATCACGCCCAGCTGAAGTCGCCGCAGGAGGAGTCCCTGATTACGAACATAACCACAAATCCCGTGGCCGAGAGCGTGACCGTCGAAATAATTGAACCAGCACAAAAGTGAGCATACAGTCTATGCAAAAAATAATAAAATATAACAAAAATTTACAAAAAAATAAAATAAAAATGCAAACACATATAAACGAGTCAACAAATCGTCGATATCGTCGTTTAATATGCACGCGATAGTAAGCCGAACATAATGCCATTGTTAGAACCTTTTTTAAAAGAGATTTTTTTCCAATTTTTCGAAAAACACAACTTTTTGCAAAACCATACACAACAACAAATGCTAATTAATTGCTTACATATACATACAAAAATAAATATATATATATAAATATATATATATATATATCTAGCAATCGATGTGTATATTGAATGGATATATACGATTACACTGTGGAAAAAAATGTTCGAAAAAAACCTTGCATAACAAATTCATACTAATCTTTTTTTCAAAAAAAAAAACGAGCAAAAAAATGTAAAAAAAAAAAATAATGATCATGAAAATGAAATACTTTATTAATTTATATAAATATTGTACGCAGATCTACAGCTTTATGCCTAGAAACACAAGCAAAAAAAAAACCGAAAAAACAAAGAAAATTTTCGTAGAAATAAAAGCGTTTTTGTAGGCAAGATTTAAAAAGGAATTTAGGAAAATTGAGTTTTTGCTAATATATATGTCTTATACGAAAAGGAAAAGCGAAAATCATTGCCAAAACAACAATTGGGACACACAAAATACAAAGCAGACTATGTACAATGTACATACGCACAACGCCTTATCTTATCTATATCTAGATGCAGCTAGCGATGTGGCAACGGCTAGTATATATACATATATATATATAGTATATAGATATATGTGTTCCGGCCACACCTCCAATTGCTGCTATCGCCCCCCTCCATAAATATGGATATTATTATTCTTATAGCCAATGCAAAAGCACACACAGATATAAAAATATTAAAAAACCTCGGGACCATATTTTATAATCAAAATATGCGTTTCAATTAACGAAGCATGCACCTTTAGTTCCCACTTAAATCCATTCTGTCAAGTGTTTTATTCGAAATTAATTTTTAACTAGCTATTGTTAAACGCTGGCTGAACTAATATTTAGGGAACTCGCACAAACACGAAAACTAAAAAAAAAAGTAAAGAAAATCTGAGAAAAGCTAGCAAAATGCACACTCAAGTGCCGTAGCTCGAGTTAGTTAGCGCCTAACTAAGTCTAAACTATATGCGAGTAGCTGCTAATCAGAATAATCTAAATTGACTTCCAGTTAAAGTTATCAACATTTCAGTTCTTTACAACACTGTAACATTTTTGTGCTAAATCTCCTCTCACACAAATTTTGTTTTGGAATCCTCTGGAATGGTCGGCCGGGGCTGAGCACTGGGCGAGCCAATAATAGGGGAAGATTCTTCGTGCGTCCAGTGCTGAGCTCACATTTGGCTGGCCAAGAACAATTAAAAAACAAAAAAAAATAAAAAAAAAAAGATATTTATATCAAGTTATAGTACTTAGAATGTTGAGTATGTTAAGGTCTTTTGGTTTTCCGCAAAGCCCCCCCTCAACAAAACTCTCATTTGCTTTTGTGCTCAATCAAAGAAGCTTAACTGTGAGAATAACAAAATGAATACAAAACGTGTTTGTACTTAAAACAAAATGAAACAAAATCATTACAAATAAACAAAAATGACAAAATAAAAATAAAAACCTAAAACCTAAAGAAATATGCCTAAAATGGTACAATTTAGTAGAGCGAGCGTAAATCGCATAATCTTAAACCAAAAATTCTTGAAAAATTTCCAACAAGCAAAAAAAGTAAATATAAAATGCTTTAAAAATATATATATATTTAACTAGCTAAAATCGAGTAATTATAAATACGATAAAAAAAAAGCAACACAATTTTATTCAAATTGCATCGAATTTTTCCTTAAACAGCAAACAAACAATCTTATTTCTAGGACATCAAAAAACTATATACATACCTTTCTTACATGCCGAAGCACAAGAGCAGGAAGCATAGAGAATTATAGAAAATAGACAAAAGATCAGATGGCAATGGAAAAAAACAACTTGAGCATTGAAATTTGGGGAAGGATTTCAAGGTTTAACTTGGTTTTTGTGACAACACGTAAATCTAAGCACATATAAAGCTAAACTTAAACTTAAATATATATACATCTATATATACATAAGATTTATGAACATTCTCCAGACACTGATTTTTCTATTTACATCAAACTACAAAAAATGTTGAAGGCAGACTTTAAGTAAGCGAATTTTAAATAAGCGAAAAATCATAACAAACAAATATATATACATCAATATATGCTTTATTTACTTTAAAATGTATACACAAAAAAAATACATTTAAAAACTGAAAAAAAATTTAATAAAACATGATTATATACACTTCTTGTCTAGTGAAAATCTATGCGATAAATTCATTTACACTCTACCAAAACAATTTTATACATATACCAAAGGCAAAACATCGTATTAAATTAAAAATAAAATCTATATATATATATACAAAAGAAAAGCACAGCAAAGCCATGCGGAAACAAAATAAAAATAATATATTATAAATTAAATATGAAAGCTAGAACATCAAAAATGGCAAAAAAAAAAACTGCTGCATTATTCTCCAGATTTCTCATGTGACTCATTCAAAACTAGGCACAAGAACAACAACAACAACTAGAAGTTGAGCGTAGTTAATATACTTAGTTTTGACAAAACTTAAGCCGAACCGTAGCCAGGTTTATTTAGCGCGCTAGTTAATCGTTAAGTAAATAAATGCATTACAAGAAAAACCAATACTAATAACAAAAAAAATGCTTGATTTTTTCCCAAAAAAACTTCAAGATGAAGAGAACTTCGTATATTATACATATAAAGTGCATATATATACATAAATATATATATATACAAAATTATATAGATTTATATTTAAAAATCAGTTCACTATAATAAAAACTATATATTACCATAACTTACAAAAAACAACAACAGTCTTTTTTTATAGTGTGGTGCCCCTGAAAACGCTCAGCCTGCCCTCCGGATGCAGCTGCTCCGGCTCCGCAGCCGGCAATCCTCGCTTTCCCGTGACGCGCTTGTGGAAACTTTGCTCGGCCACGTAACGCAGGTGCTTGGCACTGCTTGCGCCCGTCTTCTCCACGAAACGATAGAGATATCCGTTGCGCTGCTGCAGCAGCTCATGCGGATGACCCAGCTCGACGACACGACCCGCATCCATGACCAGGACACGATCCGAATCCATGACCGTGTGCAGGCGATGCGCAATGGTCAGCACCGTGCAGTTGGCGAACTTGGTGTGTATCGCCTCCTGTATGAGCTGATCCGTGCTGCAAAAGCCATAAAGATTAGCTTTATGAGCATAACAGGTGCTCAGCCACTTACTCCGGATCCACATTGGCCGTAGCCTCGTCCATGATGAGTATTGTATTGTGCCTCAGAATGGCGCGTGCCAGGCAAATCAGCTGACGCTGGCCCATGCTGAAGTTGGCGCCGCCATCGTGCAGCCTGTAGCTGAGGCCACCTTTTAGCGCCGACACAAAAGCCTTCAGCTTGACGGCGTCCAGCGCCTGCCAGAGTTCCTCGTCCAGCTGATGCTCGAACGGATCCAGGTTGTAGCGCAGCGTGCCCGAAAACAGCACCGGATCCTGCGGTATAATCGAGATGCGACTGCGCAAATCATGCAGGCCCAATTTGGCAATATCATAGCCATCGATCTCGATGAGTCCCTCGTTGAGGGCCAGGCGAAAGACCGCCTGCACGACGGAGGATTTGCCGGCGCCCGTGCGACCCACAATGCCCACCTTCTCCTTGGGATGTATGGTGAAGCTCAAGCCGTTCAGCACATAATGCCCATGGTCGCTGTAGCGCAGTCGCAGATCCTGGAAGTGTAGCTGACCCGCACTGGGCCACTTGGCGGGCAGATTGACAGCGGCCTCGGTCTCGTAGGAGGGCTCCGGCGGCAGCTGGACGTACTCCAGCACGCGCTCCACGCTGGTCATCTGGTTCTCCAGTTCGACGGTGTGACCCATGCCCCACTGACAGATGATGCTCAGCGTCATGGACTGCGTTATGGCCAGGCCCACGTCGCCGCTGTAATAGTTCTGATCGAATACTAGAAAGCTGAACGTAACCACCAGGATGTACAGCACACAGATGAGATCCGTCCAGAAGGCAAAGGCCCGATTCACACTTCCGTACAAATAAACGGCCGAGGTGTTCTCATTTTGATAGCTATGGAAGCCACGCTCCAGGCGCTTGGTCGCATTCAAGGCGCGAATAGTGGTCAGGCCTTTGAACGTCGCATTTGTGTACGAGTAGATGGGACTGCGGGCTACGGAGGGCAGAAGAAACAGATGAGCTCAGGAATATATATATCTAGCTGATGTGCATGGTTCAAAATTCCGAGCCTAGGCAAACCGAGGTTTCAAGCTGGTTTTGACCTAAGCTGCAGATTTTTTATGGGCTTTAGGAAAATTCTTCCAGTAAAGAATATATCTATTAATATTTATTATATTTTTTATCTCCTTAACCGGTTTGTCTACTCACAGATGGTCTCGATGCGCTTGAGGCTTCGGCTGGCGCCTATATAGAGACTGCGGGAAAAGTAGAGCAAGGCAATCATCACAATCGCTGGAATAGTCAGCCAATAGTTGGCGATGCTCACGACCAAAAGCACAGCCAGCCCATTGACAAAGAACTCCAGAGATTCCATCATGGACTGCGGCAGAGTGATGTCAATGGCCAGGATATCGCTGGAGAAGCGATTCAGAATGCGTCCCGAGGTGGCCAAGGTGAAGAACTGCATGCTGGCGCGTATGATGCCGCGGAAGAGGAAATTATGTATACGCAGCGAGATGCGCAGGCACATCATAAAGAAGCCAAAGGTGCGCAGCACATACAGAAACAGGGTGCTCACAATGAGCACAGCGTACAGGGTGACCAGGCGTGTGCGAATCCTGCGGCGTTCGACGGGCGGCTCATTCTCATCCGGTTGCGTTTCCTCCCAGGTGGCCCTATGGTAAATACGAAAATGTGTAATATTAATTTAATATATATATTTAATATAGATATTGAGTAAACCGAAACGGGTTGCGGATAATTGATAACTCAAGTTGAACGGATCAAATTGTTGTCCTTATTGAGCTATTCGAGTTGCAGACAAAGCATTTGAATCAATCGAAAAAGAGGCACTTCGAACACAACATGTTGCATGTCAAACATGTTGCAAGCAGTTCGAACTAGGATTTAGGGCTCTAGAAAATACATACCATTTGGACAGAAAAATGTCCATGGTAGCTTCGAAGCTACGCGCCAGCAGAAAGACAATAAAAATGAGCAGCACCACGAACGGCAGACCGAGTACAGCAAAGTATTGCTTGTAGGTGGTTAGCTTGACCGAGCCCTGGAACTGTTGCTCCTTGTAACACTGCTCATGCTCGTCCAGCTGCAGTTGGAGCTGCTGCTGCGACAATGGCTCCTGCGGCGGCGCCTCCTCGTAGATGCTATCAGCGCGCACGGCGCGCAACTTGGCTACGTCGCTGTCATTGGCGACGGACATGCGAAACCGGATGAGCTTCTTGAGTGACTCATATCTGCCCTGTATGGAGGCACGTCCGGCCTCCATCAAGACCATATGGTCGGCATGGCGAAGCAGCGCGACACGATGTGTTACCAGGATGCGTATCTTGTCGCTGAGAAATTCATGGAGGCAGTGCTGCAGCAGCAGCCGGCCCACATGGGAGTCCACGGCGGAGAGCGGATCGTCCAGCAGATAGATGTCCGCCTTGCGGTAAACAGCTCGCGCCAGGCTAACTCTAGCCTTTTGGCCGCCGCTCAAGCTGGCGCCGGACTCGCCCACGATGGTGGCATCTCCATGCGGCAGCTGCTCAATGTCCTTCTCCAACAGGCAGACGCGCAGCACTTCCCTGTAGCGTCGCTCGTCGTAGGGCTCCATGAAGACAATGTTCTCGCGCAGGCTGCAACGATTCAGCCAGGGCTCCTGCGGGGCATAGCTGATGACGCCATTGAGCTCCACGCTGCCGCTGATTATGTCCAGCTCACCGAGCAGGGCGGCCAGCAGTGTGCTCTTGCCGGCGCCGACGGTGCCGACGATGCCAACAAACTGCTGGTCCTCGGCCTCAAAGCTGATGTCCTCGATGTGCCGCTGACGCTTCTCCTGGCTGGACTGATCCCAGCTGGCCGTCAGCTGGCGCAGCGTGACGCTCTTGCGCAGTGCTAGCGGATTATGCAGACGTCCAAAATAGTTTCCATGCTGCAGATCATCGTCTACGTCGGTAAAGTTGTTAACACCGCCATCAGCGGGATCCTCGTGCTGCAGCAAAAAGTCCAACAGGCGGCGGGCCACAACAAACGTCTCCGCCCAGGAGTTGATGGCCAGGGGCCAGAGATGCAGCAGCGAGTGATTCAGATGGTCATAGTAGCTGGACACCATGAACACCTTCTGGGCGGTCACAATGTCGCCAGTGAAAACATATGTGACCAGGCACAGAAACAGCGACAGCTTAGAGATCATGTCGGTGCACTGCAGCCCCGCATAGACGTACATGGTGCCGCGTATGGCGGTCATTTCCTTACGGCGCACGCGTGCGATCAGCTTGGCAAAGGACTTCTCCCAGGCATACATCTTGATCACCTGCATGGCCGATATGATCTCGTTCATCAGCTTGACCCGCTCGTCGCCGTACTCCGCCGAGAGGCGCTTGAAGCGCGCCGTCGCCTTCGCTGCCCACACCTGCAGCGGTATGAAGAGTATAATGGTGGCCATGCCCACCAGAGCAGGCCATCCGATCACCTGGTAAATAATGTAGCCAAAGATCAGGCCCTCCAGCGGTCCCTTCCAGAGCTCGTGAAAGAAGTAGAATGTCTCATTGAACTGCGGCAGATCCGTTGACATAAGGGCAATCGCATAGCCGCTCATCCCACTGTTATCCGAAGCCACGGAGACGCGCAGGCACTTCCGGTAGACCAGGCCGGCGCAGGCCAGGCGTATACGGGCGCCCAGCGCAAACAGATGGAACATAAACGGATGATAGCAGAGCACCTTGACCAGCGAGCACAGGACCACGCCCATGGCATACAGATAGGCCGACTCCATGGACTCGTATTCATTGCCCTCCGAGAAGAAGGACACCAGCTTGCCCAACAGCAGCGGCTGCATAGTGCTGCAATACGGGAAATATGCGTCATGAAGGAACACTTCTCTTGCGTCTTGTTTCGACTTACTGCAGGGAGATCTCCACCAGCGAGTAGAGTATGCAAATGGGCACAAATTTCGCTCCGTACGCCTGGAAGATCATGTGCAGCACACTGGGCTGCGGGCGTTTCAGTTCGCGCTCCCAATGGCCCAGCAGATCTTGAGACACCTTTGTACTATCCAGGCAGGGTACATTCGCATACAAATCCGCTGGCTCAATGGATTTGCCATGGCCTTTGCGCAGAATCTCACGTGACCAGCTGACAAAAACAAAACGTCGGGGGATTATTTTTGACGAACTGTCTGTTATGGCTAAGTTGGAGCATGAATTTTTGAAGAGTGTTTTTTCACAAAGTTTACACCTGAGACTGCGATAATCCCCCTTGTTTCACATTATTCGCAAAAATCAAAGTTTTTCGTTTAGTCCGATTTGCTTTAAACATATTTTCAAAGCTTTATATAAGTCCTTAATGAATAAGTGTTTCATCGATTTGGGAAATTTCGGCCGCAACAGTGGCCAATTGGTAGAAATTTCCCACTCCGACAACTCGAACAATTTAGTAACAATTCAAATTTCCCACTCCCATAACTCATTCAAATCTCATGAGATTTTTACGAGGATTATTTCTTTGTTCATGGCAACTGGCAACGTTATTCTTGGTCAAAATTCATAGGGTTCGGCTTTGATTTTATGGTTTGGCCTCTAGATTAGATTAAGCATTTAAATCTGGCAAAACGTTATTCTTGTAAAATATAAGATTGTTGATTCTAGCTCTTAGTCACGGCTACAGACAGCCAAAGGTTAGTCTGATCAGTCGTTTATAAATGTTTAGTCAGCTCTTTATCATGCAAACAGACAATCAAAGAGACGATCAGACAAGGGTTGATCGATTCAGTTGGTTTGGAGTGTATATGACAGTCATAGCACAATTTTATTAAAACCTGCTAGATCAGACTAGACAAAAAAAAATTGTGGAATAATTTGAAAAAACAAGAGCTGTAACTTTGGCACATTCTGAAAAGCGTTGCGAACACTGTCATAAATCTGGGCGCGTTTTGCTCTTCAGGTTTATCTTATCTTACGGCGACAGGCGACAGGAGCATAGCACATGTTGTAACACAATTTTTCAGCATTTGATCAATTACGAAATTAGCCACACATCGCGTATACGTAATGTCTCATACATTGCGTATACGTAGAGCACTTTAAATTTTCTTAATCCCTTCGATTTATGATTTAACATTCTTGACGGCCATTTATACGGGGATTTATGGATCGCGCGCACTCACATAAAAAACCACTTGGAGAAGAAATTCGCCTTTAGCACCGGATTTGGTTTGCGTTCCTCCTTTGTCGCGCACATTGTTTGGCATGGGCTTCACAAAGCTGGCCAACTTGCAGCTCCAAAAACTACTATCTCTATATATCAGCTATATGCTTCCTATATCACATAGGTATATCAATATCCTTTAGCACAATTCCCGCATGTGGCCGTTGCCTTTGACGCTTCGCTCGTTACTGATTTGGCGTGTGTGAAAAGCGTTTGATTTTTAACGAAATGTTGCGCCACGTTCCCGAATCATCGCTATAAATCAATGATCCAGGCTGCCCGCCCTATCGCACCACTTGGTGGCGGTTTTATCTAAATTCCGCCTGACAGCAAATCATCAGCCGAACTGCAGTCGCAACCACAGCTCGCCAGTCGCGGCTAGAAAACATGGCCACGGCCGTAGTTCAGGAAAACAGTTAGCTTCAAAATACAAATGCTGAGTAATGCCCATATTTAATACCCAGTAGCTAGAAAATAAATTCCAACAAACAGAAAGGAACATCTTTAAAGTATCTAATCGCGCCGGCTTAAAGTCTATATGATTAAATAATTCAACTTTTTGAACTCAACCAATTATTATCGATAATAGCCGCCAGTGACCAGAATCGATAAATATCGTTCACAAGCCAAGACTTTTTAAGCATATCTTGACAATTAGTAGTAGCTAGTTTCGAATTATAATACGATTCCATTAGATAGAAAGGAATATCTTTAATCTATATAATCGCGCCAGATTAGAGCCGATATGCTCAGAATCGATAGATATCGATTATCATCCAAGATTTGTTAAGCATATCTTGACGATTAACAGCAATCCCGTTTTCTTATAGCTTACACAAAGCAAAACTACTTGCTAAGCTACTTCCACTTCAATCAAAAGAATTTTAAGCAATATTCTCTTAGTTTCTGGTATATACATACAATAAAATGCCATCGTACAACTCTCCCAATTTCTCAAAAGATCTCAAACTAAACATGGAAGTTATCAGACTTAATTTTACACATTAAAGTATGCAACAAACTATTAAAAGTGGCTCGTAGTTAAGTACAGGGTATCTACTAGTCGGCCACCCACGACTAGTGCACACTAGCTAGCATTTTGTTGTTGTTTATTTTAATCAGTTATTCGAACTATGTTTTATTACAGTTTTTAGCTATTGACAATTTTGATTAAAGCTCGTCCCACTTAACAAAAAGTGTTTTTCATCAAGTTTTTATCTGTTTCAGATGTACGATATGTATTGTACATTTTATGACTATTTATAAATAACAGGTAATAGCACTTGAGGCGTACAAAATTAATATATAGTATTTGGTGTAATAATTCTCAGGCACTTTTATTGAGATTTTGTACGTAAATAGCTACATACATAAGTACAATTTCGTAACGCTACGCTATATAGTAAATTAATACTACATATGCTATATAGTAGATGTATAAAAAAAATAGCACTGACATAATTTGATTAAAGTCGCATTTTGATTTGTGCAAATTGCTTTCGAGTTCTACAATTACATATGAAGACATAGCGGAGGCATATTAGTAGATAGTAGATATCCTAACGGAAGAGTTGCATTCTTAAATTCGGCATTTGTAGTTTTAAGTAACAAGTTAACAATTGAATCACGCTAACATACATAGATATATGTACATACTTATATACGGAATTAGGGCTTAGACAATTACAAGTACAAAACAGAAATTAAAGTTAAGTACAACATAACGCGATGTACGCTCATAATACTTTCAGTTCCCAATGCTATACATCTTAAGTAAGTTTGTGTGTATATTTGTGCGTAAGTTGTGATTGTGCTACTCCTTCTGCTCGTGCAGAGCTGCGGTGAGATTAAGATCCTCGGCAGGCACACGTCCATCTAACAGCCGCTTGCTGTAGCTCTCTTCGGCCGCTTGCTGCAGCGCATTCGCCGTCGCTGAGCCCGTGTTGTCCACCAAATGCCGTAAATAACCACCGGAGCGTTGCAGCAGCTCATAGGCATGTCCGAGTTCGCGCACCTCGCCCGCATCCATGACCAGCACACGATCCGAATCCATAACTGTATGCAGTCGATGGGCAATTGTGAGCACCGTACAGTTAGCAAACTTGGAGCGTATCGTTTGCTGAATCAGCTTGTCAGTTCTGCGAGGAGAGAGCAGCGTTTTAGTTAAGAGCTTAACAATAAAGTCAAATATATATGCTTACTCTGGATCCACATTTGCCGTAGCCTCGTCCAGTATCAGCACGCGATTGTTCCTCAGTATCGCGCGTGCCAGGCACACAAGCTGGCGCTGGCCCACGCTGAAATTGGAGCCGCCATCGTACATGCGACAATTGAGTCCACCAATGAGCGTGGATACATAGGAACGCAGCTCGACATCGCCCAGCGCCTTCCACATCTCGTCGTCCGTACGCTCATCCATCGGATCCAGATTATAGCGCAGTGTACCCGAGAACAGCACCGGATCCTGGGGTATAATCGAGATGCGACTGCGCAAATCGTGCAAGCCCATATGCTCAATGTCCACATCATCGATGCGTATCATGCCCTCGTTGCAGGCCAAACGGAATATGGACTGTATAATTGAAGATTTGCCAGCACCGGTGCGACCCACAATGCCAATTTTCTCGCGCGACTCAATGGTAAAGTTCAGGTCCCGCAGCACCGGCGCCTCTTTGGGTGAATAGCGCAATTTGAAATTGATGAATTCGATGCGTCCCTTGCTGGGCCACTCGGTTTTCGGTTTAAATTTCTCGGGCGTCTCCAGCGGCGGCTCCGATGGCTGCTCCGTATACTCGAGGACACGCTCTACACTTGTCATCTCATTCTCCAGCTCGGCTGTCTGACGCATGCCCCACTGGCACATGCCCGTCATGGTGGTGCTGTGCAATATGGCCAGGCCAACATCGCCGCTGTTGAACTCGTTGCGCAGCAACAGGAAACTGAATGTGACCGCCGTCATATAGCCAATGCACAACAGATCCGACCATAGGGCAAACGCGCGTGTACAGGAGAGAAACAGAAACCAGGCCGAGGTATTTGCATTCTGATACTCGTGAAACTCCGTCTCCAAGGCGCTCTGTGCCTGCAGAGCACGTACCGTGGTCAGGCCCTGGAACGTTTGATTTGTCAGCGAGTAGACAGGGCTGCGAGCTGTAAAAATAACATTGATTCAATCAAGGAGCCAATAAAATACAATATTTATAGACTTACATATGCCCTCCAGTCTCTTCACGCTGCGACTGGTGTTCACATAGAGATAACGTATGCAGGCCAATACGACGACAATCACGGCGGCGGGCACCAGCAGCCAATAATTGGCAATGGCCACAATGATCAAAACGCCGGAGACATCAATGGCAAACTGCAAGTGCAAAGAACACGTTAATATAACTATCTATTAGGAAAAACATGTGTTTAATTTAACAAGAAATACTCTGATCGGACAAAGGCTGATAATTCTGGTTAGTCAATCAAAATATTTATATCTAGGGGGTATTTATCGTGCCTTACTAGACTGATTGACAGTCAGTAGAAATACTATAATATATATCTCTATAATGCTTACAGCCAGACAATCGAGCAGGGTGTGCGGCAGATCTGTATCCACCGTGCGTATATCCTTGGAGAATCGATTCAAAATGCGACCCGAAGAGTTTGTATTGAAGAAATACATGCTGGCGCGCGTGATGCCGCGAAAGAGACGATCGTGCAGTCGCAGGGAGATGCGCAGACACATCCGAAAGTAGCCAAAGGTGCGCATAAGGTAAACAATAAGCGTTGCGGCCAGAATAACAGCATAGAATAAGACTAGCTGCTGGCGAACGTCATCCTCGACGCTCTCAAAACTTGTCGGTGTAGCCGTGTTCACTGTATCATTAACAGGCGCCTCGGTGGACAAATCCAACGTTGCATTAACAGCCGCAGGCAGAGCAACTGTGCTGCCATTTAGCGCAATCTTCTCCTCCCAAATGACCCTAAAGAATATAAATGAATAAATCAATTATTTTTGGTTGAGTTTTTAAGATAACCAGCCTCTTACCAGCGTGAGAGGAAGTAGTCTACGCCCGTGAGCATCACCCTGGCGCAAATGAAGAGCACCACAATCAAACCCAGCAGAAATGTGCTCTCTAGTGCCTTGAAGTACGAGGCGTATACACTGAACTTGACCGCTCCCACACTCTGCTGCTCCTGGTTGAGCTCCTCGACAGTTTCATCGGGTCGCAGCAGCGGATTGTGCTGATGATGTTCCATGCTCTTCTCGGAATCGCTGCGCGACATATGACTGCTAACGCTGTGCGTATCGATGCCGCTCTCGTCGTGCGTCTGCTCCAGAAACTGAAATTGGCGCGAACGCTGCAGTTCCTGATAGCTGCCTTGGGCTACAACCTTGCCGCTGGACATCAGCAGCAGGTGCTCCACATCGAACAGATACTGCAGCTGATGTGTGACCAATATGCGTATCTTATTGGATAGAAAGTCGCGTATGCATTTCTCAAAGATGTGCTTGCCCACATGCGTGTCGACGGCGGACAGCGGATCGTCCAGCAGATAGATGTCTGCCTTGCGGTAAACAGCACGTGCTAGATTCACGCGTGCCTTCTGACCGCCACTGAGGCTGACGCCTCGTTCACCTACCACGGTTAAATCGCCCCTGGGCAGCAGCTCCATGTCGCGTTCCAAGGCGCACGCCTTGATCACCTTCTTGTACCGGCGCTCATTGTAGTCCTCCACAAAGACAATATTGTCGCGTATGGTGCCCTCAAAGACCCACGGCTCCTGTGCCGCATACGATATTTTGCCATGAACTAAGGCCTCGCCCTGATCAATGCCCACCTCGCCGAGCAGAACATTCAGAAAGCTGGATTTGCCCGCACCAACTGGACCCACGACAGCTGTCAATGTCTGATCCTGAATATCGGTGCTGAAGCTATCGATGGCACAATTGGAATGGCCATCACTGGCGTCCCACGAGGCGGTAACGTTCCTTAGGATCACACACTTCTGGGGCGCCTCGGGACAATAGTCGCGCAGCCGATTGGGCGGCTGTGATTGTGTCATCTGCGGCTGACCATTGACCAGCAGCGAGCCGTTTAGCTCCAAATTCTTCAGTTTGTCCTCTTCCGTTAGCTTGCGCTTGTTCTTAGACTGCTTGGCATCGGCCTCCAAATTGATGGGCACCTCGGCCTTGTCGCCATCCAGCAGAAATTCCTTACAGCGTCGCGACGAGACCAAAGCTTCCGCGATGAATGTCAAAGATAAAGGCCAAAAGTGCACCATGGAGTCGTTAAGCATGTTGAAGTAGGAGGAGACCATGTAGACCTTCTTGGCGGTCAGCGCATCACCCAGATATACATATGAGCACAGAGCTAGGAACACAGACAGCGGCGAGATCATCGAAGTGCAGCTGAGCGCTGCATGAATGTAGGCAGTGCCGCGTATGGCCTTCACTTCCTTGAGTCGTACCTCGGCAACGACGCGCGCAAAGGACTTCTCCCAGGCATACATTTTGATCACCTGTATGCCCTGAATAATCTCGTTCATTAGCTTTACACGCATGTCTGTGCGCTCCGCCGTCTTCTGGCGATAATAGGCCGCCTTTTTTGCTGCCCACGCCTGGAGCGGTATAAAGCTGAGCATAAAGGAGACACCTATGACAGCGGACATGCCGATCTCGCGATACATCAGATAACCGATGAGTATCGATTCCATGGGTCCCTTCCATGTGTCATGCAGAAAACAGAGCGCCACATCGAAGCGTCCCAAATCGTTGGACAGTATATTGATGGCGCGTGCGCGTAGACCATCATTGCTGCTGCTCTTGGAGACCTGCAGGCACTTGCGGTAGATGAGCCCTGAGAGGGCTAGGCGCAGTTTGGTGCCCACTTGAAATATGTAAAAGATGAAGGGATGAAATGTCAACACAGGCACCAGCATGCACACCACAATGCCAAGCGCATAGCAGTACGCCTCCGACTCGCTTATCGTTGTCTGATCCGCCGCAAAATAACCAACCAGACAGCCCAGAAACAAGGGCATTAGGGATCTGCAATTGAAAATAAAAAATTAGCACTGTTGTCTATCATATATCAGTTGTTGTGCATACTTGCAACAGGACTCGACCATGGAAAAGGCTATGCCCAACGGCATAAATACGCTGCCATATGCACGAAATATCATGCGCACAACGCTCGGATTGCTGCGTTTCTTCTCATCCTCCCACAATTCGCTGAACTTGCTCGTCACGCGCTCGCTGTCCAGCGTTTTTCGATGCTGATACAGCTCCTCATCTGTGAGTGGGCCCTGTAGGCCGCGCTTGAACAGATCTCGCATCCACCTGAAATTAAGATTAAAATTAAATTCATTTATAATACAATACACATTTATTTCTAGAAATACCATTTGTCGAGCGACCACTGTACTTTGATAAGACAAAAAATATACTCGATATAACTAATTACATTTGTGTACAGTTTTTATGGGGCTTCATTAATGATTGTTGTTCTGATTTTCAAGGTCTAACACCAAGTTAATTTGTAATTAACAAAGCTTCTGAGCTTTATATGTTGCCTAGGTACTAAAACAACATCTATGCCCTGCGACTGATAAGTTAGATAACAAGCACGTTATAGCATTGTTATACATTCCTAAAAACTATACCTAATCATATTATGCAAATAAACATTTTACGGTCTCATGAAGTGTTTTTAACGCTGTGAACGACAAACAGCAAGTTGCTAAGGCGTTAAATTCTTTGGACAACAAGTGGTTTCCCATTATAAAATATCGAGACATATCAAATTTTCTAACTACAAGTCAAAGTGCATGATTAACAGTTACTTTCGTGCACTGGAGGTTAAATATCCTTTTTGCCACTTAACAGATGTTAACAGTTAACAGTTCTGTTAACATATCAATGATATGTGCTATGTTAAACATTTTTGTGATCATAAAATTTTCGACCACTTGTTAACATATTTTTAGTTACACCCTAAAATAGCTTTTTATACTAAAATAAACACTAGTTTTCATAGAAACAAGCAATATATATTTAGTAAAAATAGTATAAGGTATAGGTAGAAAATTCATAACGAGAATTGCTAATACAAAATAAATAAAAAATCAAGATTACTGCAGTTTATTGTATACCATATACAATATTATTCGATTTGTAAGCCATATTTATTCAATGCCTTTTTAATAAAAATCTCCCAAAATAATTCTAATCAAAGTGAACATATGCGCGTCTGTACACTGTATATATATGTATAAACTATATGTACATCCATATGCACGAATTAATTCAGTACATTTGTAATTGCTTATATACTGATAAGAATATAGCCTTCACAGCCCCAGTGACATCTAATATGTATGATTTATGGAGCAAAAAACACAATTTCTGTGAAATTTGCCCGGTAAAAAAGTGAGAAGACGGTGAATAACCTCTGCAAAAACAACAATTAATGCTTACACCTAACGCCTATATACGGTATGTACGCACATGTGTGTGTGATCTATGTGTGTGTGTGAGCACACATATTAGCAGTGTTGCCAGCTTTTCAAACGAGAAACGGCTAGTCTAGCGGGAGAAGGAGATTTCTGTGCTTTCTATAATTTGTTTTTATATAATTTCAAAATTTACTTTGCGACTCTCTGGTTTATTATAAATATTTTTATTTCAAAAATATACCACTGACAGTTGTTTTTTTTTAATTTGTTCGCAATAAAATAGCTAAATTTGGCCAGAAAAAAGCTGAGCTGACAACACTAAATATTAGTAATAGGTACATACATACATTCACACATGCATAAATACATGTGGATGGACTTTAAATACAGCTTGACACGTGCTATCGAGCTGAGCATGAAAATCAGCCTATGCACAATGTACATATACGATTTACCGTTATTGTTGCGCTTATACTAACATGTGCGTGTGTGAGTGCGTGTGTGTTATGGCTGCGTATGTATTGGACCCTTAGAGGGGAAGAACCAGAACTTGTAACTTACCAGAAACTCCATTGTGAGAATAGATTTGCATTTGTGTAGGGATTTTTTGGACGTACAATCTTTCTTCTGGTACGGTTCATAATATGCGATTCGTTCTGTTTATTTAAGGTACAATTTATCACTTGCGCGTTTACCGTTACGCCACCAAATTACAAGTAAAACGCAAATCGAGCTGGCGTTTGCTGCTTCCTCTTTGCAATTGACTGCTTTATTAATATTTTATGCACACTCACTCTCTGTCCACAGCAATGTACATACATATATTAATATAATGCATATACATATGTGCATATATGTATGTACTGCCGGCAACAACACTGCTGCTGTAAATTGTCTAGGGTCGAGGTCAGTGACGAATTTTTTTATTTTTTGTGTCCACTTCTCATTCAGAATTAACCGTTTGTTGCTGTGTTTGACCTGGCAACAAACAAAGCAAAGGCAAATGCAAACTGCAATTTGCCGAGAAATCGCCTTTGTTTCGTATGGTAATCGAACAGTTGAAACTCACACACACACAAATAACAAACACTATAAATTTAGTCGTTGCCTTCTGTAATTAATTATAATTTACACAATTATTACGCGAAAAAACAATGTGTAATATTAACGAACCGATGCACGTCTTTTCGGTTCGACTTCTGAAATGGCAATGGTAGACTTGACGAGAGCGATAGAAAAAGAAAACTTTTGAATAAACCTCAGCCGAAAAGAGAGAAAGAGAGAGAAAAAGAGCACTAATGCGTGTGTGTGCACCAGCTGCCTGGTTGCTACTCTGTTTTCGACGCTCCGGCAACTACACTACGTCACTCTGTTGGTCACGGCTGTTGGTATGTGTGCTGCGTATGTGCTTTAAATTTAAGAACTGTGCTGTGATTCGGCACAGTGAAATTTAATAACTATTTTATTAAATGGATTCATTTCAATTGACATTAAAAAGTCAATACGAAAAACAATGGCATTGAATATAATTATATACAAATTTCTATAAATCGTACATTGTCTATTTTGGAGGATTTAATACAAAAATATGAAAAAATTAGTTAAGAATAAATTAATAGTTGACAGAAAACTTACCCAAATATAATAGTAATTTGTATATTTGTGTAGTGAACAAGCAATAATATTTAAAATCGAATCATAGGGTGTAAGATTGTATCGGCTTGATGCAAATGGTGAATTTTATGACTTGTTTTAATCGAGTTTTATCGCTCTCTGAGGCCTTACCACACCGTTGGAGTGTGTGTGTGTGTGAGAGACCGCATCCAACGGTTTTAGAGCAGTAGCCAGAGCGAGACAGCGAATTTGTTTGTCAACGGCAATTTAAAAATTTGAGCGCGAGCGATTTCCAAGCATTGTGAAATTGACAAAAATAAAAATAAAATATAGGCGTGTTTGCTTTAATACACAAACACGGCAAAAAAAAAAAAAAAAAACAAAAAAAAAACAAGCCGGCAACAGCGATGCTCGAAAGTATTTTGATAAGATGTTATCATTTCATCAAATTAGAAATTTGTTGTTGACAATTGAGTCATTGAGATTGGAGTTCCTGCAAATCCAAATTTTTTTTACATCATAAGCGATGAATATTTATTATGGGTAATTATGGATTAGCGTTAGTTCTGTGTATTTTTTTGTTGTTGTTTAGTAAATTTGGTGAAAAATACATTTGAATGCAATATTGAAAAACCAAAAACATGTTTACTTAGATAATGACAAACAACATGCCCATTTAATCCTCAATATATTCGAATGGCTCTGGTGGCTCGGGTTCCTTCTCATCATCGTTCATTGGACCAAATGCAGCGACCGGTTCGACCAGTTCCTGATCTTCGGTTTTGCCCGTGTGCTGGAATACAATGATGCCGCCAATTGTCACATCTTTCATGGGCTCATAGAACTGGCCATCGGCAACGCTGAGCACTTTGAGCTGTTGGCGCAGGGCACGTGCCGGATTCTGCAGCATTTCGAAAGCGGGTTCGGGCTCCTTCTTTTCCTTCTTGTCCTTCTCTTTTTCCTTTTCTCCAGCCACGCTGGTGCTGGCCTCCTTATCCTTGTCGTCTTCCTTTTTCTTTTCCTTGTCATCCTTCTTTTTGGGCTTGGACTCCTCCGCTGGCTTGTCGTCAGCCTTAACAGCTGTTTCGGACTTCTCCTCATCCTTTTTGCTGCCTGCAGCGGCGCTCTCCTTGCTGTCCTCATCGACATCCATTTTCTCGTCCTCCTTCTTGTCGGCATTCTCGCGACGCTTCTGCCGTGCTGCAATCGAGAGAACAGCCGTGGCCACCTTCTCGCGTTCTTCGCTCTTCTTCTCCTCCAGCGGCGCCGGGTAGGCATATAGCGATGGCTTCGCCGCCGATCTATACTCCATCTTGGGCATCTTCAAATCCGAATTCAGACCAATTACACAGGTGGGTGTAAATGCCAGCGAGAGCGTGTGCGCCAACGGGAACCAGTACCAGTACTGCGTGAAGGCCAACATGCCGACGACAGCCTGCAGGTTGGTGTGTCCAGTGCGTGATTGCAGCGAGAGTGTGGCATTGCGACCGCCAGCATCGATGATACCTGCAAGCAGCGGATCAAGAAGAAATATCAAATAAGACACTTGCATGGAATCAAGTGTTTGTCACCCACCTTGTGCCAAAATGGCACCATATTTGGCCATGACATCCTCGTGTTTGTTGCTGATGACTTCGGCGTACAGCTGGCGGAAGAAGGTGCTCTTGGGGCAGCTCAAGTCTGTGTGCTGAATGAGTATCATGGCGGATGCAATGAGGGCACCCTGACGCACAAAGTTCACAGGATCAAACTTGACCATGGGCTCCAGCAAGGCAATTGCCTCACGCAGACCAGTGCCGGCGCAGGCAATGCCCAGCGCCATGGCGGCACCATAACGCACATGCGGATTATATGATTCGGCCAGCAGACTAACCACCGATGGGCACTGCTCCGGCGTGCGGAACAGAATGAAACCGATTGCCGTGACAGCAGCGCGACGCACATCGTCATTTACATCGGAAACGGCCACATGGAGCAGCTTGCGTATGGCCTTGTTGCTGCCGGTGCCATTGTAGGCCATTGCCAGGGTGTACATGCCGGAGCGACGCAAGACGGGATCTTTGTCGGTGGAGAGGCTGGTGACAAGCGGATCGGCCTCTTCCAGGCGCGCAAACATGGTCAACGAGATGCCAACAGCCAGGCCACGCAGAATCTTTTCGTGCTGCGTCTCCTGCGCATACGATACCATATCCTCGATGGCCTGTGCATTCTTGGAGCCCAGCATAACCATGCCCATGGCAATGCCAGCTGCCTCGCCAGTAACGGCATCGTCCTGGTACAAATTAAACTTCAGCTGTTCGTACAGATCCTGGCGATGGGTTCCCATGCCGGCTAGGCCCAGGCCCAGGCAGCCACCATGGCGCACATTCTCGTTTTGCGAGTCTTTCAGCTGTTGCAGCAGGTAGTCAATTATATTGGCGCCATGATTGGCATGTATCAGACCCAGGGCGTACAGTGCGCCACCCTCTGAGTAGCCAGAGCTGGGACCCGCTTCCTTGGGCAAATAGCTTTGCATGAGCGCCAGCGAATCCTTCTCGTGTCCGCGATGTATCACACCCAACGACGCGGTAGCTGTTAGCTTTGCCCAATTTGTGGCACGTGCCAACCAATCCAGATTGTCGCGCAGGAACTGATCCGAGGTGGTGCCGCTATGCATGAACGCATTGGCGATGACAGTCGCCGTGTGGCAAATGGACACACGCACCGCCTCCTTGGTGCCGCGCAGTATCTGCAAATCGGCGTGATTGCTGCGTATGAGAAACTGCAGCTGCAGATCTATGGACACTTCGCCGGAGAGTATGGAAATTAGCTTCTCAATATTCTTCTGATGCAGCTTTTCCATGTCGTTTAGCGAATCGATGGTGCGCTCAATCTTTACATCGCCTGTAAAGTAAAAAGAAGCGGAAAAATCATGAAATCATTTATAACAGAGTCTCGTAAAGAGATTTAACCTAAAAGTTAAAAACAGCTAAGCTGGGAATAGCTGAGCTTGGTCAATATATATATAATATATATAAGAGATGAAAAAAGTTTCGCTCACCATCTTTATCCTCGATAGTTTCCATGCTCTCATCGCTAAGTAATTTGGCCTTCTCATCATCAGATTTGGCAGCGGCATCGCTACCGTTCGCTGTGGTGCCCTGGGGCTTGAATGTGCTGGGTAAGGCTGTGGGTATGGGCGCAGTATCCTTGAGTGCCTGGAGCACGTTGCCCAGGAACTCTTGTGTCGCAGACTCGTACAAATCGAATGCGATTTGATAGGCCATCAGATTGTTGGCCTCGACGGAGGAGCCGGTCAATTTGTCCAGCATTTCGGCAACGGCCAGGGGATCCTCCAGAAAGATCAGACACTGGCACATGTTCACATAGTCGGGCACACCCAGTTCTCGATAGAGTCCAACCAGGCAGCGTAGCACCTGATTGCGAAAGCCGCGATTCTGGAGCAGCGACATGGTGACATTGTAGGCATAGGCCAGCATGCCACGGACATCGTCCGACTTCATGATGGACACCTCAAAGATGTCCATGCGACGCGTTTCCAGTGCAATGCCAAGTGCCTGACGGTACTGATTGTCGTCCAGGCAGCGTTGAATCATGCGATTCACAATGGCCTCCAGACGCTCATCCACAGGCTTCGCCTCCTTGGGATTCTCAATGAAATCAACGCGTTGCGCGATATAGAAATCAATGCATTTGGCAATGATTGTCTCAGTGTACTCGTTGCGCGCATTCACATCGAACAGATCGCCAGCGCCCAGCGCATATGTGAGTGCATCCTCAAAGGAGCCCAGATGATAGAATACCTTGGACGCAACCATGCCAGCAAGTTTGTTCTCTGGAAATGCTCGGTCCTCGTGCAGCATTTCAATTTTCTCAATTGACTCGGATATCTCCGGCCAGAACTCATCCACAATGTTGTCCAGCTTCTTTAAGGCGAAAACCTTGAGATCTGGCATCGGTTCATCGAGTAGGGATATTATCCCCGCGGCGGATGTGAGGCTCATTTTTTGCTTGCGTTGATTTTTCCCCCAATAATAAATATGTTCTACGAAAGTGTACGTAACATATGATTAATTTGAATCCAAAAACTGTCTGATTATAATAGAGACAAGTAATTTTTTGCAGTACTAACCAACGATTGCAGTTTTTAATATTACACAGACTTTTCTTTTATGCCGAAAAAACGCTAAATCACCAATCGTTGTAGTGCTGCACAATGCTGGCTGTGTACATGAGTGTTGGAAAGCGTGCGTTAGGCAGTGTTGTTCATAAGAATAGTTATCACGAAGTGGCAACTCTGAAGCAATTGTTATCGATAACTATCGACATACATAATTCCCCGCAACTTGGCATCGCAGCAACAAAAACGCGCGAACAACTGGCGCAAGCGAACACAACACATAGTTTTGTTTGCTGAACGCACGTAGTTAACGCCCTCGATTACTTTATATAAATAAACAATAATCATTGCAACAACATGATGTGTGAGGATCAACTCATGTCTGTGGATGCAACACCGATTAAAGGCGCAGGCAGCCTTAATTCCTCCGGCTCGTCCATTTCAATGGACGCAAAACCGCTGAACAGTTGGGCCCAAGAGGTTCGCGCCGAGCTGGGACACAGCGACGAGGTAATTAATGATCTTCAAACCATACGCACAGCCCAGCTAACTAGTTGTCAATTCCAGGCTTCGTCGTCGTTCAACAGCAGCGCCGGCAGTGCAGCTGCACAAGCAAAGCGTGAAATGGCCTTTGAATTTCTAGATGGCAGCAATGAGGAAAAGTTTGAGCGTCTGGTGAAGGAGGAGAAACTAAAGACACCCTTTAAGCGGCGTCATTCCCAAACGCCGCCCACACAAAGCACTGAAAATAGTCGCTCCAACAGTCCAAATAGCAGCACATCATCAGCTCAGAATGATGTCAATCCACGTCCCAAAGCGCAACTCTTCAAAGGTCACAAGGAGGAAAAGCGTGTGCGACACAATAGTTATACCTCGTCCACTTCATCATCCTCCTCGTACACCGAGTCAGATCCAGAAATACTATCGCGCCGCCAGAAGCAGATAGACTATGGCAAAAACACGGCTGCCTATGAAAGATATATTGAGAATGTGCCCAAAAATGAACGTACTCGCGAGCATCCCAGAACCCCCAACAAATATGGCAAGTACAGCCGTCGAGCCTTTGATGGACTGGTAAAGATCTGGCGCAAGCAGCTGCACATTTACGATCCGCCCACAGCGAAGAATTCGCGTACTTGCGAAGCTGATTCGGACTCTGACTCGGATTAGAGATGTTTTATTAAAACACGGGGCGCGTTTCTCGGGGGACAATAATTGAAACGATGGTACAAACTCGGGCAAAGTTGAAGTAAAGAACATATACATATATATATATACCATTAAATTAGCCTTAAAATACTGCTCGCAGGCAAAGTATTTATGTTATGTTATGTTAACATAAAATGAAATGTTTAATAAAATGGCGTCGTTTTGATCTTGAATTTTTGAGACTGTTTTACCTGGAAACTGCAGCGGGGGCATTTCGGAGTTGTGCATATAAAATATACATACATACATATGCATGTGCATACATTCAAGGCGGGCCAGGAATAGACAGATGTTTTATCAGCTTATGCAGTGATATTCGTTGTATGTACATACATACATACATATAGTGAAAGCTGCCTATAGCGGACCGAGATGTGCGAGCATTCATTGACGCTAGTAAAAATAATGGGTATTAAACTACTTTTTATGATCTGCTATTTCAGTATGCAATTAATTTTTATATAATTATGTAGTTTTGTTCGTTCTAGGTTTTGTAGTTTAAGTGAACTTTTGTCAATATAACATGTTCGTCAAAAGGAGCTGTCACTTTATGTTAAGTTTTCATTGAACTGGAAAACAGGCTTGCAAATCATCCGTTAATTTGTTATCAAGCAACGGTGCATGTCTATTGTGAACTGTTTTTTATTGGCTTACTCTTTAATGTGCACCAATTAATGCTTTCTGCTCGAGCAACAAGTTTATATATTTATTTGTGTAAATTTGCGAAGAATTGGCAAACCGGCATGTAACAGTGTTGCCAATTGCGCCACTTTGTAGCTAAGTTTGCTTGGTATTGAATATTGGATTCAGCTACTTTTTTTTAAAGTGGCAGCTGGGAACACCACAAACCATCAGTTGATTTTCCACTGGGCGGCAAGTCTATTGTTAACTATTAAAAATATAAATAATAATTTGATTAATTTCTTATCTAAATAACATATAATAAAGAGTATATATGAAACGTATTTGAAAAGCTTAGGACTTTTATTTACAAAATCTTTACAAATATGCATAGTTAAATAAAATTGGCAAAGGGGCATTAACCAGCGACCAATCAGCTGTTTTGTCACTGTGCAACGGCGTGTGTCTATTGTGAACGTCTGTTAGTTTATATTTATTTTGATTATTTCGTTTACGTACGCAAATTACACGCAGCCCGCACATGTTTCTAAAACCCTACCGATTAAAGAGTAGCGCAGCGCTCAAGGGCTCCGAAGCCAAGAAGCTGCGCGCCCGACTCGAGTTGGCATTTCCGCATGTGCCGGCCGAGCATCTGATGCCGGCAAAGGCGAATGTGACGCAGCTGAAAATCCTGACACATGGCGGGCAGCAAAGCATGGTCTACTGTGTGGACAAGCAGCCGATGTTCTTTGAACTGGATGGCGGTCAGCTGGTGCCAACGCTCTACACACTATGGTCAACGCCCGACATACTGCCATATCTAACCACACACGAGGGTGTGCTGCCCAAGCTATCCAATGGCGCGGACTTGATGCTGCCGGGCGTGGTGCCGCTGGGCGTCGGTCTGAACATGTACGGTCATTTCAAGAAGGGTCAGCTAAGTAAGTGTGTGACACAATTTAATATTATAGACGATTCCAAACATGCTCTTGATCTGTGCAGTGGCTGTCAATTTGACCAACAACAGTTCGGCCATTGGCGTGGGGCAGCTGGCGCGCTCCAGCGACGAGCTGTACATGTGCGGCGGTCATGGTGTGGCTGTTAAAATGCTGCACATGTTCGGGGATAAGCTGTGGGCACATGAGCCCAGTCTGCTGCAGCAAATACCGCTGAACAAGACAAAGCCTTTGTCGGGTGAGGACTTTCCTGCCTTGGGATCATCAGATCAGCACCGCAAAACCACAAAACCAACGCCAACCGAGCCGACAACTGTGAGTGAACCGGTGCCACAAGCTGCGGAAACAGACGAACTGACATCGGGCGCTGCTGCCTTGTCGCTGGAGGAGATTAGTGAGCCCGCCGCAGATGCTGCAGCGGTGTCACCAGATGAACCCACGCCGGAAACAGTTTTGAAAAATGCATTTCTAGCTGCGCTTAAAAACAATGGCAAGAAGCTGCCGCTGCCGCTTCTCACGAGCAATTTCTATCGGCTGTACGTGGTGCCCGAAGCGTCTGAACAAATTGATTTAAAAAAGACGCGCTACAAGAAACTGTCCAACTTTCTGGCCGAGATGGTCGACCAGGGCTTTATAGTTGTACGTGAGGAGACCAAGGGCGTTGACAAGATTATTTCCGTGGACTTGGAGCATCCAGAGCTGGTGAACTTTATAACGGATGTCAAGACCGGTGACAGCAGCGGTGCCGCAGCAGAGACGCCCCTATTCCATTCGGAGCTAAAGGAGATGTACATTGTTTCGGATGTAACCGCTGCATTCTTCACTAAAATGAACTACAAACGCGGCGAGGGTATACCCGTTGGCCAGGTCAAGAAGATTGTGCGCGAGTATGTGAGCAAACATGGGCTGGCTGATCCGCAGACAAAGCTGGTGCGTCCGGATGCAGTGCTGCTGGAGCTGTGCGGCAATCGTGAGGGTACCTTGAGCGAAATCACTTCCATAATAACCAGCAAGATGGAGCATTCCTACCAAATGTGCAGCGGCAAGGATACCAGCGGCAAGCCGCAAATTCAAATGTCCCTGGCCACACGGTCCGGCAACAAAAAGGTGACGCTGGTCAGCAACATCGAAGCCTATGGCATCATTATGGCCGAGCTGATAAAACTGTGCAAACAGGGCGCCGCCGCCAGCACAAGCATTGTGAAGTTGCCGCATCAGAAGCACGAGCAGCTCCAGGTGCAGGGCAATCAAATTCGTTTCATATACACGCTACTCACGGAAACCTACAAGGTGCCACCCAAGTGTATATTGGGCCTCGAATTGGCCAAAGATGGCAAGAAGAAGCGCAAGTGATGAAGTCACTAAACAATGCATATAATACAGCCCACGGGGCAATAAAATGAATGTTCCACTCCAAACCTGAGCTTATAATTATTTTGTGTTATAATAAATTATTTATTAACTGTAGTGGGGAGTGGGTATGAGAACCAATTAATGCTACGAGAACCACAACAATAAACGGGAGGATATTTCCAGCATCTATCTGGACTTAACAATCTCTAGCAATTGTGCTTTTGTATTTCGACAAAATTAGAGCTTCATTTACTTGGCCTTGCCTTGGGCAGCAACGGCTTCGATGGCCTTCTTGACGGTCTCCTCGTCACCCAAGAACTGCATGGATACAACGGGCTTGAAGTTCTCATCCAGCTCGTATACAAACGGTATGCCGGTGGGCAAGTTCAGCGCCATGATGGCATCCTCGGACAGATCTGTAATGGGTTGAGAGTAGATTCAATTCTTATGGAATAATAATATTTCATGCTGTTGCTCACTATCTAAATGCTTGACAATGCCGCGCAGACTGTTGCCGTGGGCCGCAATCAGGATGCGTTTGCCCTCCTTCATCTGTGGAATGATGACATCGTTCCAGTAGGGCAGTGTGCGTTCAATGGTCAGCTTTAGCGACTCGAACATGGGGAACTCCTCGGGCTTGGGTCCCTCAGCATAGCGAGGATCCTTGACAATGGTGTCATAGTAGGGATGTCCCGGCTCCATGGGTGGCGGTGGAGTGTCGAAGCTGCGTCGCCAGATTTGCACCTGAGCCTCGCCGTACTTGGCAGCGGTCTCGGCCTTATTCAGGCCAGTCAAACCGCCATAGTGACGCTCATTCAGGCGCCAGGTCTTATAAATGGGAATCTCCTTGTGGCCGCTCGCCTGCAGTATGCTGGCCAGCGTGACCTGGGCGCGCGTCAGAACCGAAGTGTGCGCCACATCGAATTCTAGCCCAGCGTTCTTAACGGCCTTGCCAGCAGCTAGAGCCTCCTCCTTGCCTGCGCACGCAAAAGTATTGATTGGTTTTTAAGTATTTGATTATGTGCATTTGGATTTACCCTTTTCGCTGAGATTGGCATCAAACCAGCCACAGAATTGATTTTTCTGATTCCACTCAGACTCGCCATGGCGCACCATAACAATCTTGTATTTGCCACCCATATTTGATAATTGGACTAGTTTGCGGAAAATTATGTTATAATAGCGGCGATGGCGCTTACAGCACTGTCGCTTTCCTTTAAATTCACTTAAATATGACCTACAAGGGGGCCAATCAAGGTCGTAGTTGTCAATTCGCGTATTGCAACGCTGTGTGGGCAGTTCGCGTTTTTGTTACGTAAGACTGTTATGTTACGCGCACTGTTGTTACGTTTGGCGCCAAATCTTCACGCAAAATGCAACTCTGTCACGTGGGCCTGCTAACGCAACAAATGGGCAGCCTTGTCGATTTAGTGTGAAAGAAGAAGACAATAAACAAAGCATTGTTGCTTTTAGCTGCAGCAACAGTTCTTTTTTTTAATATTATTATTTAATAAGCTTGAGCATTATGACTGAAAAGGTAATTGCGAGATGTAGCTGGACACAGACGGCTGGCAAAGAACTGTCCCAGCTGGTGCCGACACGCTTCTCTGAGGAAGATGTCTTTGAGAAGTAAGACAAAGGATTTTACATTTGCAATTGCAAACACACCCAAACACGTTCACATACATGTATATATATATATGCACTTTCGCACTAACAGGCCCGACTTGGACGACGTTATCGGCGAGGAGCGTGCTGTTCTGTTCTCGTATACCGACTGCCCCACAATACCCTGTGAGCTGCAATTTCAAATATCGCCCAATTTTAAAATTGCCGCCATAACGCTTGTGTGCAGCGCACCCAAAGTGGAACTTTTTGTTGGCCCCACCCAGGAGTATCTGGAGACTATCTATGGCAGTGCAGTTGAGGAAGATGAGGGCGATGTACCCATACGCCCATACCGATACGATGTGGAAATCGATCGTTCTGGTATCGCGGATATCAATTTAAAGCTGCTCACCTCGGCCAAGGAGATTTGCATTTATGGCGCTATGCTGCACATAGCTCCAAATCCGAATGGCATTACCACACAGCTGCAGAAGCCATTCGATATCCAAAAAATACAGGAGCTGCTGCATAAAGGCGGCACCGGCTGCGGTACTCCAAATCAAGCCGAGGACAGTGATCAGAAACTGCAAAAGTTTATGAGCATGATGAAGAGCTATGTGAGTCACTCGGAGACTCCGATGCCAGCTCCGATGCAAGCTGGCGCTGATGTGGGCGTGAGCACTCTAAAGGAACATATCGACGCCAAGTTCGAGCAGCTGGAGCGTACAATTGCCAAGAGATTGGATGCATACGAGGCGCAACAGGCTGCAAAGTTGGACAAAATTATTGCAATGCTCGAAAACAAAAACTAAATGATTAAATCATATATTTATAAAGCCATCCATCTATTGCATCTGTAACTCTCACTTTGATATGTATTTCAATTTAGTTAGATAACGAATTTAATTGTGATCTTTTGAAAGTTTCTTTGTAATTGTGTTAAAATTGTTATTTGGCAACTGATTTCCTTAGCTAAAACCCTATAATTTGTACTTAGTACTTACGAGAAGTCTGTGACACTTTCAATATACATGTACCATCCATTATTAATGTTTTGTTCTAATCGTGTTACTCCTTGCAGATGGCTCACAGTTCTCTAGACTCTTGTTAAACTTGGCTTTGTATTTGGCGCAGAAGGTCTGGTCAAAATTATCTGATAGACTTTCTTGATCCGTTTCATCATAAGCCTGAGGAATCACAAAGGTTATTCGAATAACTCTTTGGCTTAAGCTGCCTGTACTTACATTATCCACGGCAATGGCTGGCACACCGTGGAAAGCCACTTGGGCCGTCGCCTCACCATATTTCTTCAATATTTCATCGACGCTGCGCGCCTTCTTGCATTCCTTGACAGCACTCACATCGATGTTATAGCGCTTGGCGCACCTATCCAGATTGTTTTTGCGGCCGCGCATCATGCAGGCAATTAGCTTTAATGATATGGTCTTATTGTTGTGCTCCAGGATGCAGCCATGCCAGGCATTCAGCTCGCACTCATCCTCGCCATGCTGACAGGTAAGTTCGCCCGCCTCGTTCACCTGAAGCGGGCCATTATACGGGTTTGCTCTAAAATCTCTCATAAAACCACCTACCTTCGCATTTCCATAGGGCACCAGCGTTAGGTCCGTGTAGGGCAGCCTATCCATGCGCGTCATCGAAGGATTTAGCTGAGTTGTCACAAACTCCATGCAGTATGGACAAAGCGCTTCGTAGTAGAGTGTTATGGGCAGCTTGGGCGCGTCGGGATCATGATTACGCTGCAAAATGTTGTTGATAATACGAGGTCAAAGATGCCAAAGTTCACTTGCCTTGGCAATGCAGCCTAGCAGCCCGAAACCAAGCAGCAAAAGACAAATGAGTTCCTTCATTATTTAGCAATTTTAAGCGTGGAACTGAGATGCAGAACCCTCTAACGACGCCTTGACACTGAGAATTGAGTGAACAGAAGTCAAACTTTGTAGGCTGACTGCATGTCTAATCTATAACTGTGATTTTAAAAGCGCCCAGAGGCGTAGAAACTGGGGATTCACTGGATAATATAGAATATATTAAATTATTAAGCTATAGAAATTCGTAACGATTTAATACCTTCCGGCATTCCATCTTAGTTAGTGCCAGTTAGTTGCCATTGAGCCCCCCTATAATCTATAGCTACGCCTCTGTTTCATCTTAATCTGCCTACATTTCCTCATTTCGTAAAGTACGATTACTCAAAGTGGACAAGTGCGCGCTGAAAAATGGGTTTATTGTCTCGTCTTTCAAATACCCTATCATTATATTTTGCATACGCACATATAGAGATTGTATTGATACTGAAAAAATTCAAATAAATTGGGTTCACTGTTCTCAGTTCTATTTCGTTTTTCAAATTGAGGCAAAGTTAGCTTGAGAGTCTATAAGTTCTTGCATACCTTGTTCTTTGTGATTCATGCGCATGAATAACGCGACCACAAATATCGGTGCAAGAAATGGGCACATATATAAAGTCTTAGACAGAGCTCAAATTAAGAACTTAGAAAAAGGTAAACAAAGAAAATCTCATATTGTAATATTAGATTATATAGGTCTAGCTGGAATTAAATAACACAGCTGTCGCTGTTAATTGCCGCCAGGTATGCGACTGCATCAGATTACAGATTCAAATGCCTCAATGATTCATAACTGGAAAACTAATTGGCAATGTGAGCTGCTGACTTAGAAAAAGAGATTATTATATTAGAAAATATTATTATATCTATATATTATTATTATAGAAGAATGTTCCTGGTCACTTAAAATTCTGAGCTCTTCAATATTAGAGGTGGATTATTATTATTATTATTGTTCTGATTATATTAATATTATTATTATTATTATTATTATTGTTTTTATTATTATTATTATTATTGTTTTTGTTATTTTTATTATTATTATTATTATTATTGTTATTATTATTATTGATGTTATTATTCTTATTATTATCATTATTATTTTTATTATTATTATTACAGATTATTGTTATGAATATCATTATATTCATTATTATTATTATAATTGTTCGTTTCACTACCAATTTTTGTATTATTGGCCCATTTACAGTGTAAAGAATTGAAAACCCATAAAACAGTTGATTTATTTTTCATAATATGTCATGTTTTATTACTTATCATTAACACTATTACTTTATCACAAATATTTTAAGCATTTTTACATAGATAGTTACAATCGTCGTGCTTACGTTGGTTTTCCTTATGTATTTATGTACAATGCTTTGCCCTCTTTGAGGCCCAGTTGATACATTTTTCCTTTTCGTTATTCACTTTTTTTTTTATCTCTTTGGTTATATTGTATGTAGCACTACATGATTTCGTTTCTGAAAGTTTCAACTACTCGTATTGAATATCTACAGCGGGGGACATTCGCTTATACACGTTGGAGGAAGTTTCTGATTTTTTGACAGTTATATATTTATTTTTTACCTATAGCATTCCATATGATCTATGACATTTTTCCGGGTTTTACAACTTTGTTTTGTTTTGTTTTTACACACACTATATATATATTTATGATTTCGCTATTCTTAAGATACTTAAGTAATCAATCGATATTGTTTTTTGTTTTTTTTTTCTTTTGGGTTTTTCGTACGAAATGCAAATTGTAGATCCTAGAAAACGAAATGATATGATCAACTTTTGAACACTTATTCATTTAAGAACATGCTTAATAGTTTAAACGTATTAGATGCATTTCTGATATGCGAATATATGCCTTGATAACAATTGCCATGCCTTTTCGAAAGGCATCAAAATTTATTAAATATGTTATCGAAAGTTTCATTTGTTTTTCGTTCCATTTTTTTTTGTTTGTTTATTTATTTAAAATGCAATTTTCCAGTAACTTTTTTGAGCTGCCCCCGACCACCAAACTGCCAGAGCCAATAAATTTCGACTAAATAATTCGTTGTATGTTTAAGCTTGTGATAAAAAATAGGCCAGAGTTTGTATAATATTTCGAATTGAAAGTCGTGCTTATCAAATTGTGGAGAACCAGTTGGCAAATCAACATGTGGACAACATTTTAGTCCTATGAGTTTATAAATCTGCTGAGTTTGGCTCAATGTTAGCTACATAAATCATTTTATTGGCTTATTAAAAACTTTTCCATTTATTGTCATCATTTTGCGCTATCGTGCGCACAAATCCGTGCCCAGTTCGAGTTGTTGGCCAGTTTTTATTGTGCTCCATAGCCATTCAATCGTTCGTGAGCTTATTATGGTTATCCACAGGGCGGTTATCGCATATTTTTCTAAACTTTTCTTTATTGCTCACTTGTTGGCTGGCCGACCGGCTCATGGCCCTGGCCAATGCCCATTAAATTCAAATCTGCCGGGCTGCTGTTTCTGGCGCGTGTTTAAAAGTTAAATAATGGCCACAATGGCTCCCTCCTCCTCCTCCTCCACCTCCTCACACACACTCTCTCTCTGGGCAGGCAATGGCGCAAGACGTGTCCAATATAACTTTTTCCCCATGGACTGCTCCCGAATGCGAATCGCTTGCTTTAGGCTTTGATCTTGGGCAGCAGTTCAAATAGTTGCGGTATAGGCTCGGTTAGACAGCAAAGGATATGTGCTTTTTTTTTATCGGGATATGTTCTCATATAGTGTAAAGAAAAAAAAAATGAACAACAATAAAAATAAAAACAGTTTTAACAACACTTTGGGTTTTGCTTGGAAGTACACAGCAATTTAACAAGACGGTTTTTTTTTATAGTTCTGGCCTCGCTTTCAGCATCAAGCATGCGTATTTGTATATAGTTTGGGTTACTCGAATTAATAGGAACTCGCCGTGACGACAACTTCTTTCGGTTATAGAAGTTTTTAATAGATGATAATCCTGGAATATCAGCACACAAATATATCTTTGATTTTAGGAATCGCAAGCCAATACGCTAAGATCTTTTATGATGTTGTATTCGGGGTAATACTTTTTAGGATTTGTCAACGAGCCTGATAACTTTTAAGAAGATGTACACAGATGATCTCTCAAAAGATGTGTATCATAAAATGTGCACAGATTCCATTCTTGTGATCTTTTAGAATTTGTACATAAATGTTTCCAGGTATGAAAAAATGAGTATAAGCTAATATCTGATTAATGTGTTACAAAAGATATGCATAGATATTACAGTGTTTGATATGCTTGATAGCTTTTCAATGACAGATATTAAGGGAAGTCTGTGAATGAAGTCGCAAATGGGCAAACTTGATGCTGAAGGCCAAGCACTATATAGCACACTATATATGAATATATATAGTTATATATTAGAGTGTTATGTATGCTTACGGCTAGAAATACATTTACACTAACATGTACAAACAACCAGAGACACACATGCACACGAACACATACATTGACTAAATTTAAAAGCTACTTTTTAAGTCTAACAATTAGAATTTAATGCTTAGAGACATTTCGTCGTCGAACTCTGCTAGTTACGAATAGTTAGTTTTTTTCCCTTTTTTTTTTTTTTTGGTTTTTTGGTAAGTTTAGACCTAGTTCTATATGCTCTATATATATACTATACGTATTTCACTTTCAACTACTGCATTTGCTGCTGCCTCTGTATTCGATTTCTGTTTCCGTTTTTTTTTTTAATCTGCTTCTGATGTGCGCCAGTCTTTTGTTTGTTGCCAGGAATTTGATAGCTCGTCCGCACGCAAGCTTTAGACGCAGCTCTCCGGGCCGGGCAGCGTGTCCGTGATGATGTGATTGCGTCCGGCATTCGATTTCTGTGTAATGGTTGTCAGCTGCGAGGGCGACAGACTTGTGCCGGCCATGCCGCCGACATGGCCCAGGCCCTTCGGCAGCGTCATGTGCGTGGGCAGCGGTGCTGCTGTGGCCGCCGCCGACTTGCTCAGATTATAGTCAATCAGGCTGCTGGTGGTCAGATAATCGGCCAAAGTTAGCGGATCACGTCCGCGTGGCAGGCTGCCCGAGGCCAGACCATGGGGCAGCGTATGATGCATATGCTGTGCATAGTGCCCGCCATTGCCAAGCGCATTGCTCGTCGAGTTCGCCACGCTTCCGGCCGAGCTCAGCGTACTGTTGCTGCCAATACCACCACCACCACCACCACCACCACCACCGGCGCCGGCGCCGGCGCCGCCGGCATAGCTGCCCATGTTCAAGCCCAGCTGCTCGTACCGACTGAGCGTGGGCATGGCATCGTACAGCAGCGAGGCTGTCGCCGCTGGCGTCTGGTAACTTTTCGCCGCATTCTCACTTTCCAGTTTCAGAGTGCTCGACTGTGACGGCGGGCTGTTCAGGTGCGGCGCATTCACCTCCTGCAATGATGCCAAATGGCCAAATGTTAGCTCCTACAAGCAACGTTTCTTAAAATAAACTTCAAAAATAAAAATCTCCTTAAGAGACTTTTTTTTATATCTAGCCGAGTTTCTAGAATTTACAACATTGTTTTTTGATTTGATTTGGGTTTTTCCTTCAATATAAAAAATTACCAAACCAAACCTTTTTTTTTTTTTTTTTAAAGGAATATATTCTTAAAAAAATAAACAAAATGTTTTATTTAACTACGAATCTTTCTTTTTAAGCAAGAAAACATTTCTGTTATGAAAAATTTTAAAATTAATAAAAAAAATAATATTTACAAAAAATGAATTTACTGGGGGTTTTCGAATAATTTTAACAAAAGTTTTTTTGAATTCGTTTTGTGTTAATCGTGTATTAATAATTCTTGACAATTTTCTAAAATGTAGTTAAAGAATTTTGCTGAGTGTAGCGCATTCAACTTACATAATCGGCTGTTTTATGACTCGCCGATGCACCGCTAGTCGCTGGCCCATTGCTACCGCCCATAAATGAACCACTCTGTCGATTTCCCAGCGGTGAGGATGTGTCGCTGCCAGTTGCGCTTTTCTGTGCACTCAGTATGTCCGGCTGCTTCTCAATGCCCTGCTTGAGCGTGTAGGCGACGACCAGTCGCTGATGCCCGGCGCCCGTTTCCAGGGGCGCTGTCACCGTCACATCCATGCCTGCCATTTGAATTGTTGTTGGTCATATTAGTTTTTGGCCTGCGTTAAGTGCCCACAACTTCGGCAATACTCACCCAAGTGCTTGTCCTTGTCATCGCACAAATTCCGGGCGCCCTGGCAGCGGCGTCGACGCACCGCAATGACAACCACAAACAACACGGCGATGCCCACGGTGAAGAGCGTTCCGGTGAGCAGTGCGGCCAGCGGCAATATGGATAGACCCATGCGTCCATCTGTAAAAGCCAAAGCCGATATGAAAAGCATTAGAGATCAAATGCAAGCACTTGTAAATTTTACTATGCCATCTATGTACATGTATTTTGTATGAATATGAAACAACAAATAAAATAAATGCACATTTTTTCACGGGGTTAAAAGAGATTTTTATTTTGTTTCCAGGCTTAACAGCTCGATTCAATTTTGTATAGAAAACTTGCCATACTCATTAGATTTGCAAATCCTATAACAAATGGTCAGGGTTTTGGCTTTCCGTTGGAAAAGACTTTCTGTCTTAAGTTTCGGTTTTTATTTCCATGGAGAAGTTAGAAGAAAGGCTGGGCTTCAAATTATTCTGAGTATCTGAGTCTATCTCTAAATTTTTTCATTTTCAATCGAAGCATTTCTGTAAAAATATGGTTCGCTACGGGGTTTGGTTCAGCTGTTATTTGAGTTCTGCTTAACCCAGTTTGAATCCCAACCCGAACCAAGTCTACTTGGAGGCTCTTACCACAAGAATATTTATTTTGTATTTATTATAATAATTATTGCCAAATATGTGTTTTTGACACTGCGCAAAGGAAAGTTTTGCTGCGCTGAATATGGGAAATGAACTATCATCGACGCATAAATATAAAAGGAAATTGAGTTGTTTTAAATGGAATCAAGAAACTGATTACAAAGATGTGGAAAACTGTGTACAAAAGCGGCGCCCCAAGGCGCATTTCCTTTAGTTGGTTTTAACAAATGTGTTAGCTAGTTATTGCCTTTTGCCGTGAACAGAGGGCTTAATTGAAAAAGTCGTTTGATTATTTGGTGTTATTTTTTATTTTTTTTTGAGAGTTGGTGTTGACGTTGGCGTAATTGAATATGCATTACAAGGCCATAAGTATTTCGTGTACGTAAATGGGACGTGGTGTAGTTGAAATGTGTTTAACATTCAACAAATCATGCGCGCCTGCGGATATGCAACACGGAATTTCAATAAGCAAACATGCCGAAATGGCAAAGCCGCAGCCAAAGCTGGCTAACAAACTGGCTGAGGGCCCGAAAGGGGGAGTGTGGGGGGGGGAGGAGGGGAGCAAGATGAGGACGGCGTGCAGTCGCAGACTGTTGCTAATTTATAAACCTGCGCCTGTCAGCCAGACGCTGTCGACAGCAGCGCCAAAGTTGCAAATCAATAAATATTTTCCCTTCTTTTTTTTTTATTTTATTTTTTTATTTTTGTGCAGCTTCACCAAATGTTGACGAAACTGCGCCGCGAGCGAAATTGCTCATTTATGCATGGCTGCGCTTAGAAGCACACAAACACACACAGACACACACATACATCCACATATTATACATGTATAGGGCACACTTTTAAATACAGACGCATGTGCATGTCGAATAATTTTGCATGTGCTGTAATTGTTGGCACATGACTTTTAGAAAAATACGTTCGAATCTGCGCCCCTTGTGGCGCATTTCCAAATCTGCCCAAATAACATATAGTTTATTTAGATTTAATTAAATTTGTAAATATATTATGTATATATATATATATATATATATATATGCACTTTGCGGGTTTGGTTCACGATTCGAAGCAGTGCCTCGCCTTTAGGCTCGGTTCGTGCTTTTTGGCCCATATAAAATGCAAATTTAGTTTAAAATAAAAAGCAATCACAATATTTAAGTATTAAAAAAATTTAATTAAAATAGATTTAATTAAGTGAGTCTGTTAAATGTTTAAATAGTGTGACTTGGGTTCGTCTATGCATTTGATTAACTTTAGCTTCGCTTCATGGAGGCAATAAAAATTGGGGCTTCCCGGCTTGAACTGGTTTCCGCCTCGTATATATATACATATGTATGTATTTGGATAAGGTACGTTGTGTGAGCTCAGTTTACTTAATAGATTGGCATCGCATTACCTCAAAGCTAGGCAGCGCATACAAATCCCCGAACGCATCAAAATGAAACCCAACACACAGACCAGCAAAGAATGCCAAAGTGAACAGTCGCTGGCCAAATAAAATATTGTACATGTATTGGTATGCGGTGCATATATAGTATATATATGGTATACAGCAGCAGGAAGACACTTGAAACTGATGCCGAGCGACATGCGAGCTGAGCTGCCGGCAACAACAAAGAAAACCCTCAAAAAAAAAACCCACAATAAAAAAAAAGGAAAAACGAAGAAAGTAATTTAAATATAAGCAGAGCGGCGTAATGAAATTTTCACACTTGTGCAAATATTTATCAATAAAACAAGCAGCAGATAGGACTCCGAAACGAGAATTGGCAAACGTGGGCGTTTACACCAGGGAGCGGGGGCCAAGTTAAGCAGATAAGCCAGCCAAAAGTGAGAGAGAGAGCGAGAGTAGCCGAGCACCTGTATGTTGCATGCCACAACAACATGAGCAGCAGGAGCAGCAGTAGCAGGAACCACAGCACCACATCACAAACATTGCCCGGGCAGCGCTCATAAGCCAATTGTTTGTATGCGTTTCATTTGGTGAGTGCAGGACGCAGCAATTCGTCTACTGCTGCTGCTGCTGCTTTTGGCCCTGGTTACTGGTTGGCTCTGCTTATAAGCTTAATTCGATTTAATGCTCCCGTTTGTGATATAAATGATTCGATGAAACGATGAAAAAGTGGATTGGTTAAAATGTATTGGGATTACGATGACGACGCTGCTCACATGCCAGACCAGGCCAGGCCAGGCCAGGCCAGGCGAAGCTGAGTCGTCGCCAGCTCCGGCTGAGCGGGAATGCGTTTACGGTTTACGTTTACGTTTACGTTTACACAAAGTAAGCATAAATAAAATGTTGTATATGCGGGTGTGTGGCCGGATGCCAGGCCAAACAATGTAGTATCTGTATCGCATGCCGTGCACCTTCCTCTTGGCGCCAAGGCGGACAAACCTCCAACCAGGAGCCAGGAGCCAGGAGCCAGGCAGTCAACCACTTCGATCTGCTGTATATAGGATATAATTTTATTTTACTTTACTTTCAGCGCCGCTGTCTTTTGGGATATTTTATTCAGATAAGACATGTTTAATGTATATTTTTCTTGTCTTACAGTAATCGTTTATATTTTGTGTTGCATGTGCCACGCTCGCTGTGTGTGTGCGTGTGTGTGTGGGTGTGACAGCCAGGTGTACGGGCGGCAGGGTCTCAGTGTCTGTTACATTTCCGCTGCTGTCGTCTGATGCGCTGTTACCTTGATGCCGCAGCTGCGGCTATATATATATATATATATGTATACTATATACTGTGTGCCGCAGCGTCCTGGCTGGCATGCTCAATGTGGATAATGTAACTCTTGGGGAATCTCTGTGTGTCAGTTTAGCATAACAAGATATTTCTTTTCTCAGTGTGTGGTTATTTCTTTTCTTTTCCTTTCTTTTTTTTTTGGCTCAGGTAAAACATGAAATTGATTATATTTACATTAATGTGATGGCGTCAAGGCGTTGCCATTGTAAACTGTTCCAAAATTCCCTAGCTACCCAGTGCCAACCCAGGCCCTATGCCAGCATCCAAATCTGCCCAGTTAAGTGTCGAATGGAATGCTTTCAAATTTGCCAAGGTGCAAATATTGACACTTGACGTATATTTTTGCGTATAACTCACACACACACACGCACACCTGTGTCACACATGGTTACACACTCGGCGAAAAAACTATATGCTCTCATATAAACTATAACATTTCTTTAAAGTTTCAGCTGCTTTGAATTTTGTTATTATCTGTATTTCAATATAGAAAAATATCTTAATAATATACATGTTTATTGTTAATAAAAATCTTGTAAAACTTTTATGCACAAATTGCTGCTGTTTGTATTTAATTGCATTTATTTGTATTTAATTGGAACTTTGAGCTATTGAAATATTGCAAGAAATAGATCCCACATGGAACTGAAACGAGGAAGCTATGTCGCTTCAAAACGACATAATCTCCCCTTGATCTCGCCATGGCGAAGTTATGTCGTTTTGAAGCGACATAAAGGTACTATTTATCTCATATGCCCTCATATTTTGTGCCTTTTCCGCCCTTTGCTGGCCATCTTTATATGAGTGTACGATGAGGTGTGCTACTCTAATGCGCATTAAAGAGATGATTGAGTGGATTTGTTGTTCATGTTGAATGGCCAAAGCTTACGAATATATCATTGCCCAATGCATTTAGGTGCGAGAGAGACGGATGGAGAGAGGAAGAGAGAGAGATAGAGGAAGATACTTAACATTATTGGCTGGCCAAATCCGCACTGGATTCAAACCTACTTAATAACATAATAACGTAATAATTCAATGTGCTATGTTTAACTAGGCCATGTTGATATGGCCAGGTGTATAAATGGTAGTTCCGAATTAATTGTACACAATTTGTGTTTGAAGTTGGCCTAATTGATTGCGTATAAGTTCAACTTATGCTGAATGTGTGAAAAACGAGAAATATCGAAATCAATTGTAAATATTTAGTTTTTTAACTGCCAAATTTGTTAGGAATAAATATTTCTCTGCAATTTGCTGAATATAAGTAGGAATGTTCGCAAAATAATGCTAGTTAGGAGCCTTTGGATTCAAGAAAGGTAAAAGGTTAACTAGAAAAAAAAATCCATTGTGAAAATTATGAAATACAATCATTCCTGTTACGAATCTTTGCCATTAAAGAAATGTTCTTACAAACAGAAAGGTTTATAGTGTACAAATTATATATATTCTTCAAATAATATATGTTAGAGAGCTTTTAATTAAAGGTTAATAGGTTAAAAGGTGACATAAAAAAAAGGTTCTTAGTGAAAAAAGTATGAATATTCTAGAAAACGATCCTGTAGGAAACCTCTGCATTAAAGAATTGGCATTTCGTAGTTCTTTGTTAAAGAATTACAAAACATTTTAAAATAATTCTTGATTTTCATTAAAAAGAATAAATAAATATTATTGTTATGTGAAACAGAATTAAGGTTCGGCTTATTAAAGTTAACAAATTGGAATTTCGGGTTCGAGGTGTTTCGCTCCAAAGGCGTTTCGCTGTCTTTATATCTATATTATTCTCAGTTCTCAGTGCTTGTTAAGGTTCACTTGAAGTACCCGAAGATTGACAAAGTAACTCAAAAATATCATTGGAATGCAAGCCTACTTCTAACTTATGTGGCACAATCAATTTATGGCGGACCCCAAAAAAAATATCCCAAAGTGCGTGTAAAACAAGCCTTTCGAAATGCTTTCCACACAATTTGCGCAGTTTTTTTTGCCTCGTTTAATGCGTCAGGAAAACGAAGAAAAAAAAGAGAAGAAACTTTTCAAGAAAATTAACGTCAAAGTTGAATAACAAAGCATGAATAAGAAATCTTAGCGACACTACTTGCCGCGGTTTGGGTCAGGTGTACCCGGTGAGTGGCAGAGGAGTGGAGCGGGGGGGTGGGTAACAAGGGACACGGGGGCAGGCAGAAGTTGGAGAAAACTGTCGCGCCCCAACGTAAACAAAACTCGTTAAATAAAAGAACAATTGTACTTACAAAAAACTAAAACGGTTAAGCAGACTATGCAAATACTTGAATGACTTTTTAAAGGTGAAATGGTGCTTAAAAAGCAATGAATGCTCTGTTAGCCCCCACCCGAGCCATCACCCACGCCCCTGCACCTTGAGAACTTTTCGCCGTGTTGCATACTTTGAGGGGCCGGCGACACTTCTCGAGCAAAAACAAACACACTTCGGGGACAATGCGAAATACAAACTTTGTATGTGCAATGTTCCAGTTGTAGTTGTTGCATTTTCTTATTTTGTTGTTGTTTAAATGGCTGAGGAACAATTCATAAGCAGCATAACACTTACCTGAACGCTTGTCCGCCTCATTGATGGGCACATTCTCCAGCACAATCGGCTCGGAGCGTCCCTTCTGGTTGACGCTGTAGACGACCAAATGCAGCGCTGGATGCGCGTCCGGATAGTAGTCCATCGGAGTGAGATCTGCAAGTAGGATATGCAAATTCCATTAGCGCAACCGAATCATTAATTGTAAAACTTGTATTTGCAAACTCCATTAGGTAAACAGGCATTTAATTAACACGTTGCGGCCAGCAAAAAAGTTCTGCCCCGCGCATAAAATGCAAACTTTTGCTCTTTCGGTTTAGTTCTTTTTATCTCAATAGCCAGTAAAATGAGGTATATTGGAGTTGTTTTTTCTCGATAAATATCGATTTTAGTGCCTGGTTTTATTTTTGTGCTGACTCGCAGTTTATAATGGCTAGAGAAGCAACATTTTAAATAAAGGTTTTTCGAAAACAAAATTTGCTTTAATTTTACAACTCCCCAGTTTCCTTAAAATCGATAAATATCGATTTTGTATTATAAAATCAAAGATAAAATTTCAGAATCAAGTTAATTTTTTTCCGAATATTCGGAAACACTTAAGACAGGTTTTGTAGCGGAAGCTGGGTTAATTTTTATAAATGTTCGCCAATTTTCTAAAACCAATAAATATCGATAATCATTCTTGATAATTTTGAGCATATCTGAGTTTGCTCGTAAATTCATTCATTCATTTCATAGCTTCCAGATAATGAAAACACGAGTTATAAACAAATGCTAATTGGGAAGCTGGAAGAATCAAAATGTCGTAAAGGCTACGCCAGCTCTTAGCCAGAATTGCTGCTAGTCGTGCACTCCCGTTTGGAACTATCTTGCGCGTTTTAATTATGCTCATATTGAAAGTTTGTTGTTTTGCAGCAAGAGCAGCTCATTAAAATGGCAACTACTTGTTAAAGGCCAGCACCAATACGCAGCAGCTAACCCCAAAATGAGTCGCGCCCCAGCCAGGCTGTAGCTTCAAGAGGGAAGCTCATCTGTAAAGCCAGAGTCGTTAACACGCCTGTCTAACTAATCGTGACTTTACGCTTCGTTTGACTTTGCAAATATCGCAGAATGAAAAGCCGCAAGGCCGCCGCCGCCCGCCCTCATCGAGTCATCGATAAAGGCTACATAAAAAGCTGCTGCTGGCTGGTTGCAAGAGTGTTGCCAAGTTGCCAAGTTGCAAGCCAAATGATAACCAAATGTGGCTCATTAACTCGACAAGTTTTTACCTTTTGCTCGTGCGCTGACATTACGCATGGTTTAAATCAAAATTGCAATTTGCGATTATATTTTAGTTGGGCCTGCAAATAAATCTGGTTTTTTCAACAACTTAATTCACAAATTTTTGCCACTGGCACTGGCACTGGCACTGCCACGGCCACGGCCACCACCAGCCCCCTGGCTACCGACGACTATTGCCAACGGGCAAGTTTCCACTTTCCCCCTCCTTACAGGTTTCAGATCCTGCCCGGCCCTAGACTGCCGTGCCATTGGCATAAAAGTTTTGCTGACTAGCTAAAATTCATTACAACAAATAGAGGCAGCCGCATGTGCCAGCTGTTTGTAGTGCGAGGTCGCGGGTGTTGCGGGGGCGGCATGTGGCCCTGGCAGCCTCAACTAATTAATCTGCGTGCCACTGTGTAGTTGTTGTTGCCGTTGTTGCTTTTATACCCTGTACACATTTTAAATGGATATAAGGTACATTTGAACTGGACTAGAACTGCAGTTGTGCTGGACTTGCCCGTCCATCTGACTGCCTGAATGCGTCGATCTCGTCGATGTCGGGAGCTACAGACTTGGAATTTTAAAAGAAACTTCTTCTATTGTCTAGGTAATTCCAGTTTGTTTCGATTGATCGATAACTTACGCACTTGATCAGTATGTTGAGCACAGTCAATTTTGTCCCTTTGTCTGTCAGCTTGATCAGATCTAGAGATCTAGAGACTTGCAATTTGTAATATTCGTTCTCGTATTAGAAGTTTATTGTAATTGTAATCGATAAATATCGATTTTGATACACGTTTTTGTTTTAAGAAAATCTCCTAGATTATAAGAGCGATCCAATCTTGGCATGTAGTCTTTGGCATACTCTATACACAGGTCCACGGTTAAATTACTTTTGAAATATCACCCGTCGTTCCTCGACAGACTGCAACAGACTTTCGAAGGTGTAGCCTGTCTCTTTAAGCCTGCCAATTTTATAAAGATCGGACAATACGTATCGAAAATATTAAAGAATGCTGGGTATCTTCACGTCGGGCATCTGCACGAGCACAGCACTTTTACTTGTTTTTGGATAGCCTTGCTTCCATATCCCCATGCCCGTTCCATGCCAAACACGCCGCGCAATTTGGCTTGCTTAACTTTTTGCACAGTTTGTTACTTTGATTTGTATTTGTTGCTGTTGCTGTTGCTGTTGGCCACATAGAAGTCGAGTCTTTAGTTTGCGGCTTTTTGCACAGGGCTGCAAAACGCTTTCTTCGCTAAGCCGAAGCAGTCTTAGCAAAGCAATCTGTAAATCCAACCATATTTAAATATAATAATGATTAAGCTCTGCTGTGATAAACACAGCAGCCAAGTGCTTAACTTTGGGCCAGCTGTGTGTTGTTGACTCAAAACATTTCCCATAACCAAGTGCAAATTGTTTATTTACAGGTACACTGCCTTCAATCTAAGCTTCTTAGGTATTTTCTATATATTCAATATATATATATACACGGGCGCATTAACAAGCATCTACTGTTCGACCTACTTGTCCTAAGGACCTGCAGCCCACTTTTCGGGCGCCTGTTAACAACCTGAAGGCATTCAGATCTACCCACTTGCCGTTCATAATCTCGCCCAGCCTTAACAAGTGCCTTGACTTACAATATGTAAATATATTATTTCTTATTCAAAGCTTTGATTATGATAGAGAAAGCAAGTAAGAATGTTGCAAGCGGCAGCTTCCGAGTGCCGAGTGGGAATAGTTATGGAAGAACTTCTAAATCGCATAAATAAAATATATATGTATATACCAAATTATTTGCATGTCTATTCTTTCAAAGAACTTATCAGATTATTCCAAGAATGACAAAATCAGCGACTCAATTGGTATTGATTGTGTCTCTTCCCCTCAGAATCAGCATGACATGATCTAAGGTAGATTCATTGCCATGAGGGAAAAGTAGAGCAGACATGCAGAAGATCGATAAATATCTAAACATTGCAGCATTCGAGCTATAGATACAAATAAACGACTGGCTTATTTTGCACATCTCCTTTAAACGAAATCCAATTAAAGCGCCGCGATTGTTTGTCACGACAAAAACTATAAGAATCTGTTCTCAGCGCGAGGCTAGAACTACTTGAGAATTATAAGCAACGAAAAGGTGAAAAGACGACAGTATCTGCGCTATTCTCATTTAGCTTGAATGAGCTTAAACAGAATGATTTCAATATTATATAAATCGTGAGGCTTTTTTTTGGGATCTTCTTCCTAAAGATAAGTAGTTTTTCTAGCTTCTATCAATAGTTATCAGAACTCAACTCACCAGACAGATCGATGCGAAAAACTGGCACATCCATATAGGTGCTGCTCATGTTTAGTCGTAACTTTTTGGTCTTTGAATCGTAGGCCTCCAGATAGAACTGTTGTTGCAGACCGCCATCATAGCCGGGCATGCACTCCAGCTCCATGGTCGAGTATATTATGTTGTCATAGTTGTCAAAATTGATGGTTCCCCCGCCCCCGCCCCCGCCAGCCATCGCATTGCCATCGTAGCCATTGGCGCCGCCACCAATGAGACTTTGAGTGACCACGCCATTGCTGAAGCTGTACTCCATGCGTGAGTAATCGAAATGGGGTTGCTGCCACTCGGCTGGCGGAGATGTGGGGGGCAGATGTTGCTGTTGTTTTGGTTGCGGCTTCACTGTAGTTGTTGTTGTTGTTGCTGTTGTTGTTGCTTCTGCGGTAGACAGCGCCACGCTGGCCACAAAATCATCGTCGCTAACATTGTAGATATCATCATCGACATCAACATCGGCATCGGCATCCGCATCATCATCCTCTAATGATTCCAGGTCCAGCTGCTGCTCCAGGCTAGAAATATCAACATGCTGTCGCTGTCGTTGTTCTTGTTGTTGTTGTTGTTGTTGTTGTTGTTCGCCTGTTTCATAGTCCGCCAAGTCGGCGGGCTCATCTGCCACGTAGTTGTCGTCGTCGTCTGCTTGCAGCTCCTCAGCATCTTCGTCAGCAATCGCAACGTCATCCTCATCAGCATCAGCTTCATCATTGTCCTCATCATTGTCTGCATTGTCGTTGTTATCCGCCTGCTCAGCTCTTGCCGGATCTGTGGACAAAGGCGCGCTATCTTTGCCCAGGTTTGTCTTGACTTCAACTGCAACTGCTGCTGCTGCTGCTGTTGCTTGCTTATTGTTGCTGCTAATTGCTGCTGCCATTTGTTGCGCTGCTGCCGCCGGCTTGTTGCTAATTTGTGGCGCATTCGGTGGCAACAGTCTGTTCTTGACTTTCTCATTGCCAATCACCTCCAAAGATTTGCGTGCCCGCATTGTTGCCAGCATTGTGTCAATGTCGCCGATGCTGCTGCTGCTGCTGCTGCTGGCATCGTTCTCGACATCAGCAACTGCTGAGTCTGACTTGGTTGTTGCTGTTGTGTCAGCTGCTGTTGCTGCTGCTGCTGGCGTAGCTGCTGCTGCTGCTGCTGCTGCTGCTGCTGTAATGTCATTTGCTGCTTGGCGCTTGCCTCGTCTCGCTGTTGCAAAATGATGGATTATGTTGTGCTCGTTTACCTCGCTGCTTAGTCCTTGTTGTTGCCCCTGCTGCGGCTGTTGTTGCTGCTGCTGTTGCTGTTTGTGCATGTTTTTCTGTCGCTTATTAAAATACTTTGCTGGCAGTTTGCCGTTGTTGCTTTTGACATTCGAGCCAGCAACTATTTCAGCCTGTTTTATATGTGACAATGATAAATTTGATTTTGTTGCACGTTGCAGCTTTTTTCCTGCTGCTCTTCCTGTTGTTGTAGTTGTTGTTGTTGTTGTTGTTGTTGTTGTTGCGGCTGTCTTGAGCAGTTTTGGAGCGCGTCGCAGACGCCGCTTGGTGTCCTGTGGCTGGTTCGACTGCTTTGGCTGCTTGGCCAGTAATCCATCAGTTTTGTTATTGATGAAGCCAACTGTGGGCGTGGCAGCTGCCTTGGCCAGCAGCAATTGCTGCTGCTTCTTGCCACGCTCAATGGCCGCCAATGTCTGCGACGGTGTAAATGATGTGCGCTTTTTTAGACGCTGCAATTGCTGTTGATTCAGATGATATCTTTGCTCCGACTGATGCTGCTGCTGCTGCGGCTTATTAGATTTAACTGGGCCAGCATTTATTTTGCCTTTGCCTTTCATATTTTTATTATTGGCAGCTGATGCAGCCACATTGTTCCGTCCATTATTGCTGGCATTATTGCGCTCACGTACGTATTCCATGTGCGGATAATTCGCATCGTGTCTGCCGTATTGTGTTTGCAGCATTTGATTGCCATGCATTGTCGTCTGATTCGATGAATTCAACGACGCGGAGGTCACCACATACGGACGCAGCGTACAATTGCGCAGAGCGCCCGGCTTGGCTACGTAATGAAAAGAAAAGCAAGAAAAAATAATACCAACCAAAATAATAAACCAACAAAATTTAATTTAAATCTATAAAATTAATTACGAAACACACTCACCCGCTGGCACCACCTGAAATAGACACGGCTCCGACTGTTTGCCAATCGCATTCCGGCCCCAACACGCCAGCGTGCCATAGTCCCGTTCGCCCTTCGGCGTATAGATCAGCTCACTAACAGTTTCCACTGCGAGAAAAAAAGGATTTATATACATGAACAACAGAGAGAGACAGAGAGTCAATAGAATTGTGTCTTAAATGGATTACATTATGCGCATAGACATAGAGATACATTGAGACATTGTATTTGCATTAGGTTTTGGCCAAGTTAAATGAAATAAATTCTGCTCGGCCAGTCAGGCCAGCTGGGACGCACCGGTAATTCAATTTATGTGCATAATATTGATAACAAGAAGACAAGAGTGCACGATTAGCAGCTACCCTGCATATTTACCTTAGTCGGGCGCTCTAAGATAAAAAACTACTGCGCTTATCGATTGTTATACGATTCTCAGAGTTTAATTATGTGATTTCTATCGACATAAAGAAAAGAGGAGTCGTGAAAGCGATCACTAAGACGGGGTCTTAAAAATCTTGATGGTCAAATTAATGGCAGCAATGCGAGCCGGATCAAGCAAACGGATCAAGGTAGTATTGGATTTTGAACATTATTAAATCGATCCGGGCAACATCGGGTATTTCTTTTTATTATCTGTATATACTTAGATATTTTAACTGCGAAAGGAACTCAACGTTAAATAGCTTTGCTGTGCGTAAGCTAAACAGGAGTCATAATGGTTTAAACAGGTTCAAAATCATGAAAGTAAATTCAAATAGATCGATTTCAGAGATACATGAAAAGTTATATGAAATAAACTCGATCTGTTTAGGGTCTAAAAGAACTTGTACTTTACATTTTATTTATCTAAGATCGACTCTCATTTACAAATGGAAGGTCCAAAGAACAAAACAATAGACATTTGTTTGTGATTGATAAGGATTGTTTACATTATAGAATCAAAGATGACTTTTACACACATTTGCAAATCAACAGAATACCCCTTTTTGGTCATGATTACGTGGTACAATTTACTATAGGCTCCAGTTTGGGCCAGCTTTGGTGCACTCTCTCACCTGTTAATTTTCTAAAGCCTGCTCAAGCGGAAGGACAATGCAAATTTAATCCACATCGCATATGCATGGCCAGGCACACAATGTGAGGTAGCAAAAATGACTGCTCAACTTACCGTAGCTCTCAAAGTGGGTATCATTGGACTCGACAACGGTGCGTCGCACATCGCTGCTGGTGCTCATGGTTGGATCCTGTATGGTCGCATAGTGTCCCGATGGCACCTCGAAATGCTCGCCGCTGCTTGAGAATGTCCACTCGAAATCGATTTCCGGTGGATCGGAGTTGACCCGACATGGTATGGGCACCGCCTCCTCCAAGGAGGCGCCAATAACCCCAATCACACTGCTGCTGCAAACGGGCGCATCTGTACGAGACAATAATATAGTGAGTACAATTGAGAGGCAGACCAGCAAAAAAAAAAAAATGCAAAATAATGAGCAGCTGCAGTGTCCATAAAGTATCTATATATTGACTCAACATTTACCTATCTATATATATATATGTATATACTGTGCGAGTCTATATTGTATTTATATTGCCAGCTGAACACTGGACAGCGGCAGGACAAATTGACAGCTTTGATTTTCAATTTAAGTGCAGCAGCTGGCGTGGAAAGTAGGAAAAGCCAAATTGTAGTGGCGACAGGTGTGAGGCGCCTCGGACAGCAGCAAAGATGTTGATGTTGTTGCATTAAATTTAAATTCAACTTTGTCAAATTTGACATGCAATCTTTTATAAATTTCAGCTGCTTTCAGCGCTTACTGCACATCGCATCAGCACAAAGTTGGCTTTAATACTTGGCTGATTTATTCAAGGTGTTGTCATTGTGTGGGGCGCGCACACACACACACACACATACATGCCAAAAAGTTTGGCTTTAAGTTGAAAACTTTCACTGCCGCCTCGTCATAAACAACCACAACACACGCACACACACACACACACGCACACACACCCATAGCCCCACCCTAACGCCTAAGACTTCTTAGTATAAGTACTTATTCCATGTGGTTGATATTTTTTCACAAAATTATTTGAAAAGTTTTTTTTTGGTTTTTTTTTTTTTTTGGCTTAATAAAAGCAATACATATACCATAAAATATTGAGGTATTTGCAGAATGTAAAAGTGCCTTTTATTGCAGCTGATAAAATGCATTTGCTTGATCCGCTTGCAATATAAGTAGAAATGTGTGCAAGCTAAGTTTTGCATAGCTTTGGCTTATAAGCTACCAAATATTTCAAGCCCGAGCATGCTAAATATTTCAGCGTTTGCTTTTTAGCTATTAGCCAAAAATGTGTGTTGGCGACCAATTGAAATACGAAAGTGCCAACTACTCGAAAGTGCCCGTCGTGGAGATGCCCTGTGAAGCAGCGTTAAACTTTTTTCCATACATACTAGACAAAGTGGATGTACTTTTTTGACACCCTCTATTCTTGAATAAGTTCGTGAATGCTCCAATATCTCCGAAATTGGGGCAATGGGTTAGTAACTATGTTGCAAATTTAAAGTCTTTAGCTCTTATAGTTTCTCAGATCAGAGCGGATGCTGAAAATAAATATATTTATATACCTTATGGGGTCCGAGATGCCTCCGCCTGCAGCATGTTACGTACGTTTGTACAAAGCCAGTATACCCTTTCTACCCATTTACAATATGTTCAGGGTATAACAACTGCAACTTGACCAACTTTACGAGCAACTGTTTGGTCCAGCTGTTTGCCTGTCTGTCTCTCTGTCTGTCTGTCTGTCTGTCTGTTTGCTGCTGCCATACAAAATACTCATAAATTTATATGGCTGCGTCAATTTCACAATCGTAGAATGTCACTTTGAACATATTCTGATTAATTTCCAGCAAAGATATGAGCGCCAACTGGCATAAATCCATTTATCTCAATCATAGTCGTGCCACACAATATTGTTGCCCCCCTTCGAACCCTATCAATACACCAACGCCCCCGCTCTGTGCACCGCGCCCCGCCCATTTCGGCTGTATGCGTTATGCAAATGTTAACGTGGCGTATACGTTACGCCTGAGCTCGATAGCTCTTCATTTTGATAGCTGACTATATATATATGTATGTATATATAAATGTGTATGTATATGTATGTATGTGTATCCCTTGGGTTTGTATTTGCTTTTAATTATCGCAATTATCGGCAAAAGGGTAACTCAATGCAATGCAAACAGGGTAATATCAGGTAATATCCATTTGCTGATGTCTTCGGTTTTATACAATTTCACCGTCGCAACGGCAGCTGATGCAGCACTTTTTTGTATACAACATTTTCATACTCGTCAGGCCTTTATGTTTGAACGCTTTTATTTGCCTTTAACTGCTAATTTGCGTTAATAATGCTCGGCATGCTATATATGTAGATGCGTTTGGTATTGGGTTACGTTTGCGTTTTCAATTCAATTAAATGCAATTGAATTCAAATCAGTCAACCGCAAAAATCAAGCATAATTAAATTTTTAGTTAAATAAACTAAATAATTTGCATAAATACTGAGGCCAAATGTGCGCTGGTTCCCACTGCGCATTGCAATTAATTAAATAATCTGCATTTACTTGGCCTGTTGGCAGCAGCAGCAGCAGCAGCAGCAACAGCTATAACATTAGCAGCAGCAAAACTTATTTGCATATAAAATGGCATTTTTGCCGACTGCATTAAATATATGCACAATAAAAATTGAATTTTCCACTACAGCGCACACACACGCACACACACACAGACATACGCTCGCTCTGAAGCAATTTTCCATCGATGACCCGTTCTCGCGCTGCTTTTCTCTCTGCTGAGCACATAATTATAAATGTTTTTACAATGACTATGTGTTTCAATAACAAAAGCATATCATTCATTTTTATTATCCTAGCCATGTCCCTCCTCCGCGCTCCGCCCAACGCCCGCGGCCAGCAACTGTTGTCCAGCTGACACGTTAGCTGCGTTTGTCCAGCCAGCTGCGCGTGCCCTATGAATATGCATACTTATTTATGCTCACACACATGCACACGCACATACACTCGTCCATTGACCAAGCAACACTAACGTTCTATGTATATACATATTGTATTTAAGCATCATTAATTATTTAGAAAAACAGTCGGAAGTAAATGCTCTATAACGGTAATTGAGACATTTTCAATATGTGTGTGTGCGTGTGTGTGTGTGTGCTGGTGTGTGTTTTAGTGTGTGCATGTGAAATCATTTTATGCGCCCATTGTCAGGCCATGAATTTATATTGCGCTTTGTAATATGCTTCCACTCTGTAAATGTGTGCGTGTGTAATTACATATGTACATGTGTATTTGTTAACGAGTGTCAACAGCAAATTGAAAACAGTTAATTATGATATGTAGCTGCAGCTGTGCGGCATTAAAGTCAATAAATTGTTGCAGCGCAACGAAAAACAAACGTTTTGTATTCTAAATATATTCGAAAATTGATCAGTTTAACAAATTAATTATTAACCATGGTAAATTTTAGAGCATTTTCTAATCAGTTATCATAATAATAATAATAATTGAGCAGTCATCAGTAGCTGAGTATTTTAAGTGATTTAGTAATTTGGGCAAGTTTGGACAAGTGTGAGGCTTGTTAATGAATAAAATAATAAAACAAAAATTCAATTATTAATATGAAAACTGGTTGAGAATTAAAGGCTTCTTGGATCTCTTTATTGGTTAATGTGTTTTCCGCTTAAACTTTGGTAGTTGTTAGATCTTAAAACAGGAAACAATCAATAATCATAAGAACTTTGATCGAGGCCAGGCAACCTAAACAGTTGGCGACTTTTATCGACATCTACGTAAACTAATTGAGAATTATAAGCTTCGTTGATTTCTCTCTATTATAATGTATTTGTTGATACCATTTCGGCTGTTGATCGAATTCATAGCCGTAGCCCTAATTTTTTTCAGCAGCAAGCATGCATGTTTGACTGACTTCTTAGAGAAGATACATATCCTTAGGACTAAAGATATTTAATTGAAGCCAGTTTTGACAAATGCAATATGTAGTACTGCTGTCGAACCAGTCTCTAAAGTCGTCTTAAAGTCCAATTTTAAGATGGATAATTGGCAGCAAAATATCTATTAAGAATTTAGCGCAATAAGGCCGGTTGGATCATGCTGCCTGCTGTGTTAACTGAGCCCAGAGCAAACTTTCTTTCAACACATATTTTTAACACAAATTATAATAAAATATAATAATATGTGCCATTACACACCTATTTCCGACCTAAGCTATAGCCCACTTAAACTAATCCAAAAATATATCATTTAATTGAAAAGATCTAAAAGAACTATTAATACCCATGTTTTAGTTCTCAATGAAGAGCGTACTTTGAAATTCATATCCCCTTTTACCTTTTTCAAAACTCGCATTTTTAATGCAAACATTTGTCAACAGAGCCTTTCAATGTAATGCTATATTTTCATTTGCTTATAGCTCAAGTTTTTGAATAGTATTAGATGTAAATGACATTACAAAGAATTGTTTAATTCGTGTGCATTGTGTGTGTGTTAAAATGAAATTTTCACATATTTTCGGCACATTATTTTGTTGTTGTTGTTTTTGGGTAAAAAGTCAGTAATTGTAAAGTTCTGCCAGTTTGTGTAGAGGTAAAAATGAAAAGCCATTAGACACGTACACGAGCAACAAACACATATGCACACATTTATATCTATATATATTTATAAATGCATGTGTGTTTGTGTGTGTGTGTGTGTGTGTGTGTGTGTGTGTGTGTGTGTATTATAACAGTGTATTGTTCATATTACGGCTTTGTGCACAAAATATTTTGTAACATTTATTGTTGTTGGTTTTTGTTGCTGGATTTGTTGCTGCTGTTCCAGTTGTCAACAGGGCGGATGGTTTTTGTGATTTTCTGATGTGAACTGCCGCACATACACACACACACACATACAGCTTATCAAATGGGCGTTGGCCACACCCACATCGGACAGTTGGCGGTTTTGTGCAGTGGTTATGTCTACTATTTGTTGTCTATTTGTGCATAAATTTACGCATATGTATTTTTAATGCTCCGCTCGACTGACACCAACTGTCAGCATTATTTTTGTTCAAATTTCGACATCATTTTCATGCACTTTGAACAATGGGGATGTTAAAAATTTTTTGGCAAATTTTATCAATTTTAAATACGATTTTATTTAAAATTATTATTAAATGGAAAACTGTGGCCCTCGGCAAAGATAATAATAAAGATGACTATACATTGACCTGGTTTAACTGGATCGTAGCTCATCTACCGATAACTCCATTTATTAGTAATACCTATTATTTAAACATTACTTACAGCGTATTCGAAGATTGACCAGCGCACTCTGCGTCTCGCCGCGATCATTGGCCGCCGAGCAGGCATAGTAGCCGGAATGTACGCGACCCACGCGCTGCAGGACCAGGCTGCGTGTGGATATGATGATGCCCCAGGAGACGTTCTGTGTAACGGGCAGGCCCTGCAAAACAACAAATTCCATTTACTTCTTATACACATTTTTCGCATCAGCCAAGCAACTTACATCGTGCGACCAGGTTATGCGATGCTCCTTGGGATTCGCCTTGATGTGGCACTCGAAGTAAACATCATCGCCTTCCTTAATATCATCAGGCCGCAGGGTGGAGCCCAGGGACAAGCTGACCTGTGGCGGATCTGTAAAACGAAGTCGAACACAATTTGTTGCATAAATTTATTGATTGACAATAAGTCGAGAGTGCTCTAGTCGGGATTGTCCGGCTGCGAAATGGAAGTCGCTTTCCACAGCCTCGCACTGAGGGAGATACGTATCTTCCTGACTGCAATGTTTATTTTCGGATTTCTATGAAATTTGGTCGACTCGGTTTGATGCTTATCAGGAATATTAACAAAATAAAGCAGCTTCCGCCTGCTTGACACATTGCCATTAAAACATTTTATTCTATTTAGCCATTTTAACGCACATTTAATTAAAATTTTTGATAAACATAATTTTCTGGATTTTCATTGTCACACGCTTGAAAGAAAACTGTCTTCTGCGAGACAGTGCGTTGCGTTTTCTGTTTTCTTTTTTTTTTTATAGCGCAAGCCGTGATATAAAATATAAAATCGAAAAATATTATAGCATAATAAAATGGGGAATTGTATGTGCCGCACGGCGATGCGGATGCGCTAAGAAACGACCATAAAAGTTAACAGCGCGTCGGCTGAACCGCTTTATAAGCCGGGTTAACCCCTGAACGCGGCCCCATCTACCAATGGGTATGACAAAATTTTTAAATTAAAATTGTTGCTGTTCCAACGCATGTGTATGTGTGTAGGGGGGCACAAACACCAATGATGGATCACATAAAAAAAATTTAGTGTTATTTTATTTTTATAACACAATGATTGTTTATCGAATGCGGGCTCGGGGTTAGGGTATATAGATATAGTGTGTGTAAAAATGTCTGTCTCTGTTGTAATAAATTTTTGTATGCATAAATTTGTAACGTAACGCAGAGTTGTAGGTGCTTCAATCAAATATTTGGCACTATTAAATTGGCAACAAGTAAGACAGCTCGACTAGCAAATACCCTTTCATAAAGTATTTAATAGATAAATTATATTAAAATATTAATTTACGGTAGACTTTCCACTCTGATTTAACGTCATTAATTAGTGTATTTCAATATTTTAATAATTAAGAACTGAGTTTCGGATCTAGTTCTGACTTGAGAATAGTCAGTCGAAACATGACAGAATAGCGAAGCTGAAGCTGACATCATTCCATGAATAGTTTAAAGGGCTGACATGATAATTTATATACTCATTTAGAAAGTATAATTATTTTGTCAGGCAATGTGTAAAAATCGGTCAAAAAATTTGTTTTTGCATGTCAAAATTTGTGTTATTGTTCAAGATATCTTTATCAAACTAAGGGATTACTACCTTTTATATTCCTGTCACGTTTCAAATCCAATTGAAACAACTTGTTTATAAAATTAGCTATATTGAACGAACTGAGCCTCAAAGATCGAGCTTTAAATTGTCAGTTTAATTTATTTTGCATAGGTTTAATTCATAGTAAACATTTATATTAGTTTTGAACTTTCGGGTGTGGACAATCTTGAAGGTATGCAAATATTTGCATATCCGACTGAAACCTTTTGTCCCATATATAAATACAAGGCTTGCAATTATTATTAAAAATCTCTTAGTGCTTAATTTTTTTTAATAGGGCACAGCAACAAAAATATTATTTTAATTCAGGCAAGGAAATACGTCTTATAAGAGGGGTATAGTCAATTTAAGCTCGCTTTTTAATCCTTTTTCGTGCCCCAGTAAAAGATTACTGTACTTATACCCTACACCCATTAAAAATGGGTAACAAGGGTATATTGTTCCTGTGCAATTTTATGCAAAAGGAAGAATGAAACATCACCGAGCCCATTAAGAAAAATATATATTCTGGATATAGACAATGAGTTGAGTTGATCATGTCCGTCTGTCTGCCTGCCTGTGTGAATGTATCGATTAAAAAGAAACTACAAAAGCTGGAGACTTGACTTTGATAAAGTTTATAGTTTTTTTTTGTCGCTATCCTTTCGCACTAAACCAACTTTCTTAAGCATATCAAATTTCCCATAGTGTGGAGTTAAGTCTACCATAGGGTATTTATGTATTGATATTTAGAAGGTAGATTGTCGCTGTGCTTAGGGTATGTGCAAGTCGGGCATCCGGAGGATTCTAACTTGTTTTTTATTTATAAGGTGGTTTTGCGTATACTTGTGTGATATATGTGTGAGCGCAGCATCTAGATGCTCCGCATGGACGACTATAAAATTCAATAAATTTATGATTATCTTTGCTCGAGAAATGCGAATCTAAGTGACAAAAAAATGGCAAATGCCGGCAAACTAATCTGAAAACTTTTGGTAAGAGACAAATATGCATCCTTATATTTTTTATGGCAATGCGAAACTGAAAAACACTTTTGACCTTTTGTTGACATGTGGAGGCGGATGCGGCCTCGCTTGTGTGTTGTTTTATTCCGGTGAATTGTAGAAATTGATAATCATATAAAGTAAAATTTATGGCATTCTGTTGAAGTTGGCAAATAGGGGCGAACGCCAAAGGAACTGGTGGCTGTCTGAGAGTCGAGAATGTAAATATTGACATATGAGCAGCAACTGGGCAAATAATGCTACATTATTTAGACTTATTTGCGACAGCAGCTTTGATTTGTGCAGCCTCAGCTATATTTATGGAAATTAAAATGGGGCTGTTCGAACCACACTTCGTTAAGTATTTCTATATATATATATATATAAGTATATATATTCCACTTACACATGACATTCAGCATGAGCGAATCCTCGATGGCAGAGTTTTGTAATCGGGGATTTGAACCCTCACATTTGAGCATGGTGCCATCGTCTTCAGGCTGTGGATAAAATGACAAAGTGGATAGCACGCGTCCATTGCCCTGGCTCGTTGACAGCTACGTAAAAGATGGATAGAGAGATAGAGAAAGAGAGAGAGAAGGATCACAATCCAGTTGAATAGAGTGAAATCGATTAGAAAAGTGCCCGCTCTGTGCTAGGTGGGCACAAGTGCAAGATATCAAAATGTCAATGGCAAGTCATAAATATGACATTTGCCTGACACATTTTGGGATATTTTTTTCGATTTTCGCTTTGCGAATGGAACTGCAAGCCGCTTACCGTGCCACGTTTGAAGGGTCGATTATTCTGTGTCCATCTGATTTCCGTATCCGGCACCGAACCGGCCACAATGCACGTAAGATTATATTGTGTGCTCGATGAGAATACCTTCAACTTGTTGGTCAAATTGACCGATGTCGGCTTCACTGCAAATTACAATTCGAGTATTAAAACTTATATATATATATATATATATATATATATATATCGTATATTATATTCGTAGAGTAGCCGCACACTTACGTAACATTTCAATGCGTATGCTGCGCTCGACGGGCGCCACAAGCTTGGTGTTGGACGCCTGACAGCGATAGGTGTTGTTGAGTGCCGCACGCGTTATTTGTGGCACCTCCAGTCGATTTACAGTTACATGACGGCCCATCGATATGCCGCTGCCAGCCTCCAGAGTCCTGGAGCCGTTCAGCCATGTGACAGTGGGCTCAGGTCGACCTATGGACGAGCATTGAATAAAAATTATGCAAATTGCAGACAGTCAAAACTGGAGAATAGACGTGCACACACACAGAACGCACGTAAATGAATATTTAATGCAAATATCAATTTTTTATTTTTGATTTGTTTGCTGGCAACAAAGTTTTGCCTCATGCATTATTAACTCGCAACTAACTTATTAAGCAGCAGCCGTGCAGACGGGCGCGGCGCCGCATTCGCAAAATTTATGGCCGAAAAGAACTTTACACATTTTAATGATAATGCGCATTTAGCAATGTGTACCCAAGGCTTTTAAAAAAGGCTTAGCCAGCTTAACTAGCAAAGTTGTGGATCCACCCCCCACCACCACCCTCCCCCCTCCCACCAAAGTCCAGCATCCGTACGAACTGACCCTATCAACCCTCAAAACTTTGGATAGACAAACGCCAATGCCAGAATGTTAAATAAGCCAAAAAAAAGGGCAGACAAATTGCTTTTCGAATTTGAGAGGTCAAGAAAAAAAAAACACTAAATATATGCATTAAAAAAACATTATTTTTCACGTATATAAAATGTTAAAAATTTAAAAAATAATCGAATGTGTTTTGTGTTTCTACATATGTTGTCTGTTAATAACTTATTATTGTTAACTTTTTGCATATGGTTGATTTTATGGTCAGTTATATATTTTGACAATTTGACTCTTCTGTCTTTTATTATCACCAAAAATATCTTATAAGTATATTAAATCAAACTAAATTTGTTTTTCTATTTCTAACTAATCTGCTAGCATTTATTCTTATTGCGAGGAATAAAAGAGAATTCTCCATAAATCGATTTTAATCGCATTATCATCGTTATTAACCATTAATATAAAATTTTCTATTATTGATATAAGCTCGAGTGCTCTCTGTTTGTTTTCAAATTATCTTTTGCTTTCTTTAATTTCACTCTCTGTTACAGTAAAAGCGAATGGGAATGATAGAGAGCATTACATTAACCCTTTGGCAAGTCGAAGTTTAAATACACTTGCTGAAATAAAAATATATTTTTAAAATATTTACAAAGGATTCTTTCTATATATAGATATTCTTTTGTCGAGCTAATTCTGCATATACGATAATGTTTGGCCTGAATAAATGACTGAGTAGAATAGGGATCAAAGCACTATAAAGAATGATTCTTATGGGAAAATTTAATAAATTAAAACAGAATTATTTTTGACAAAAAAATATATATATTTGCAACGAATTCACGTAGCTGATTTTGTTAGCACCGAGGTGTTTAAAGTATAATAGAACTTTGTTGTTATTTAACTTAAGTGTCATCATTTAATTCTCACTAACTTATAAGTGAGAGAGATTACTAAATATAACCTTTATAGATATAATTAATATATACACGTTAGGCATTTCTGTAGTCGTGTTTTATCTAGCCAAGTATCTGCTTTCTTTAATTTCACTCTCTGTCTGGCAAAAGTAATCGAAATTCTCCAACCTTTTCTTTTTTTATTTTTTCTCTTCACGTCTAAAGCTGGCACCCTTAAGTAAAAGCATTTCATCCGCTGGCTCACATATCAAATGCACAAAATATTTTTAATCCGTTTAAGTGCCCCGAAACATTAGATGGCGGGGTGGCTGTGAGGGGACGCTAAGGGAAGGGCAGCTGTATGGTGGGCGGGGCTGTTGCTGAGCTGCAGCTTGGCCATTAAGTCAGCCAAGTGAATGTGGCGGAAATGAGCAACAATAGGAACAAGCAGACAAGACAGGCTTGGAAGAAGGGGGGGCCACACAAGTAGCTGTTTGTCGAATGTGTGTTTGTGTGTGTGTGTATGGTGGACGCCAGTTTGGGGAATTTGGTGCCCAAATGTTTGCTGATTGCAAAGGATACGCAGCGAGGACATTGGCGACAATAAGCCAAGTCAAGACACACAATGGCCATGAATGTGGCACGAAAAGTATGCAGGGATAATAGACAAATAACAGTTGCCTTGTGGCATTTAGCTGCTCGCATTATACTCGCATGTATGTGCCAGTACCCCCTCGCCCCCTTCAGTCCCTGGTAATCCCTTCAGTAATGAAGACAGCGCGCTGCTAAGCCATACTTAAGGTTGTCGACAATTGGTTGGGCAACTGCGTTTCAGCTGGACCATCAAATTATGCATAGCCTGCATGGCCATAAAAATAGCTTGAAGATCGGGGTTTTTATGTGTGTGCGCTTAGATTAGCTTTTTATTGCTGGTATTAATTGCTATTAGTCGAAGTTAATAAAAGTTGATAAAGCAATTTGGCGTTTGCCGTTTATGATGCTGCGCCCGCTCGGCGCCCACCTGGGAAATGATTAGGGGGAGCAATAATAAAAACCACATCAAGATTTGCATGCGCTTAACCTCTGGCCTTTGCCCTGCTCCCACAGCATGTGGCAAGCGCCTAGCAGCTAATATTAGTTAATTTGCCTAAGCGCTCAGCGCGGTGCCAGCTGCAGCTGGAAAATGAAATATGCATTTGCGAGCTGCCAGCTGCCAGCTGCGCCGGGGGGGCTGGCAACAAAATGTTGCATACAAATCACAGGCGAGCTGCCGTAGTCAGGCTACAGCCAAGGCGTCGCCCAGCAGGTGTCAAAATAGCAAATGTCGTCGGAGTTGTTAGAGTCGTTGCCCCTCGCTCCCACCCCCCCAACTGTTACCCGCTGGTAGCTACACTCTGCACTGCGGCTAATCAAAGCAGCCGGCGCGTTTGAGTACGTGACGCATTGCCAAAACCAAAACAAACCACACGGCAGCAAATGCCAAAGCTTCGAGTCACACAACCAAACCAAAATCCTTTACATGCAGAGTGCTGCACGTAAACAGCAGCGGGCGGGCGGGCGGAGGCGGGGCTTACGGGGGCAGGCGGCAGCATGTGGCACCAGGAGCTGGCGGTGTGTTACATTCAGTTGCACAAAGCCATAGCTAACTATTTGAGTAGTTCAAAGCAAGGATTTGCGAGGCACGGATGTGGTACACTGGCCGAAAATAAATAACACCAAAGACATTTGTTCTAACCAAAGCAAAAAGAAACTTGGTCGAAAAACATTCAGTATATATATATAATTGTGTTCGGTATATAAGTAGTAAAAATATTTAGTAATTCCTATTTCAAGAATGTAGAAGAAGAATTCTCAATTGGAACAAAATTCCATTTAGACAATTTTTACTGTAACTGAAAACCTGTCACGTCTCAAGCTGGGAAGTTTGTATTATTTTGAAAAATTTGGAAATAATAATGCCAAAGCCCTATTACAATTATATAAAAGATCAGCATAACTGAAAAATAAAAATGAATTTTAATTATTTGCTTGCTTTACGAACAACTTCGAAACCAATTTCTCTGAGTGTACAGCGTCAGCAGCTAGTGCAAATCATTAAAGCAACCCACACGTTAAAGCTGCGCTGCCATACGGGGCGTATGCGCAATTTTGGTTGATTAAATTGTAAATTGATTGAATCGACACCAAGCAGGCTCTTCTTCTTAAGCTTTGCTTGAAACCTAGACCCAAATGGGCGTGCCAGCGCTTTAAGCTGCATCAGACGAATACCCCCTTTGAATCTATAGAATATTCATCTGGCGTTCGTCTGGTGGGCATTCCCCCACCCCAAAAAAAAAATAATATTGTTGTCAAAAACTTAATGATTTATAATGTTCGTGTCAGGGCAGTCGGCGAAGCAGCAGAGCCTTTGCCAGCCAAGCGGCAAACCTTCAACTGGAGCCCTTGCGAGCAGCTTTAGTGAAGCGTGCAACTTGTACAAATTTTTCACACTTGCCCGCAAACAGTGTAAAAAATACAAAAATTAAGTAAGAGTACTTTAGACAGACGTATCCGACTAGGAGATGCCCCCTATAAGAATACAAAATCATCTTGCAAGTCCCGAGATATGCTCAAAAATATGATATCGACATTGGTTTTTATCGATATCTCGAAACCGAGGCAAGTTATCGATAAAGTAGGAGAATCTATATATGCATGTTTAATATAAGAAGCTACGTTTAACATTTCATGTCTTTAGGTCGAATAGTTCTCGAGATCATTGACTTTTTACGGACGAACCGACATGTCTAAATCGACTCGTATATTAATAAGGAGCTAGAATATGGATATGCTTTCCTCCATCTGTTACATGCTTTTATACGCAACATTATACCCTTCTGTCCATTTGCAATTGGGTCAGGGTATAGAAAACCAAAAACTTACGCCCATGAACGCAGTCGTTTCACCTTGGGACCTTTTTAAAGATTTACGATGCCGCATATGCCTACAGGTCACACACAGGCGACGCTGCGACAAAAGCCAGACGCTAGAAAATTGTTGCATTTTTCAAACTAAAGTGGCAATGACAGCCGCAGCCGCAGCCGCAGCAGCAGCAGCAGTTACTGTCTGGCCGGCGCCTCGTCGACACTGTCACCGCAGACTCTGACATACATTTATTTTTATTATTTACGACGACTTAGGCCATGCTTCGACTGCGTCTCAAACGCAGGCCCTGGGCTGTGGGCAGCGTGTGTGCGCGTGTGTACCTATCTGCGGTGCCTCATCTTTAATTCTTTAAATAGACTCACGGCCGGGCAACACTGGGGCAATGTTGCGTGTGGCATTGCTTGTCAGCCTTGCTTGATAGCCTTTTGTCTGAGTGCTACATTTAAGTAGCTGACTGTGCGTGTGTCTGTGTGTGTCGTGTCTGTGTCGTTTATCATGATTTACTTACCGCCACGCACTTCACATGTCAACACAATATTATCGCCCTCGAGCAATGGACCCACAGCGCCAGCCACATCTCGGCCTGAGGCATCATACACGAGTATCTGATGCGGAGGAACTGCGAAGAGAAGAGGTGTTTTTTTGTTGTTTTTTTTTTTTTGTTGGGTGGCATATTCGTATCTTATATTGCATTTGCAGTTGCCGTTGTGGCTAGCTTACCAATGACCGTTAAATTAATTCTATGATTGCGCGTTGGCGAGTTCTGAAAGTCCACGCGACAGCGATAAACCTGTTGACAAAAGCCCGAAAAACATTAGAGCAGAAAAGGCAGCAAAAATAATAAAGCATACTTTATGGGGTCGGGACAGCTTAGGGGTGGAGTGGGTCACAGCAGGGTTGGGTATTACTTACGCCCTCATCATCCAGCTGTATATTTTCCACAGATAATTTCGCTGGCTGCTGTCCGGTAACAAAATACGCACGTGGCCCAAATGAATTGGTATCTGACCAGTAGAGTGCCTTCTCAAAGGGCCGCCCGCGCACATCAAAGCTGCAGGAAGCAAAAGAGAACAAATTGAAAGATATCAAGTAAAAAAATATATTTTTGTTATTTTTGAATAATAATTGCACAAAAATATATATAATAATGTACATTTCTATAAGTACGTATTGGCGATAAGTTGCCTTTCGCAAAAGGTCGTAAATTTAAATGCGCTTTGCAGTATTTTGGTATAGGAGCTGCTTTAGGTTCTCCTTTAGAGGCTGTTTTAGGGACTGTTACGGTTGCCGCACGTGGCTGGAATCTATCGACTTTATTCCATTTAATGGAATTTTTTGCGGCATTAAAATATTGAGCAAATGTTTTATTTGTATACTCTGTCCGCAATACCTCAAAGAGTATACTGGCTTCGGGTTATGGAACCTATCCTCCTTTTAGTTTGCGATCGAGTGTAACATGCCAATATTTTACTGCACTGACCCTTCGATCTGCAAAGCTTCTTTTGAACCTTGTTTGATTGTTATAGAGCATTGCTGAGTCGGTCTTAATCGTTGTTAATTTGTTTCAAAATGTTTGTATTTGTTAACATTTCCTGTAAATATACATTTTCACTGTTTACTTTCACAAAAATTCATTTCAATTAAAGAATATGCAAATGTGCACAGTCGAATATTTCCTTTTTGCATATGAACAAAGAAATTTTAAGTAGTAATACTATTTTACCTTTCAATATAAATAAAATACCTTATTGAGTGAAAAAATGTTTTAATAATATATGAAAAAGCCTATGAGAATGTGTGAAAAGAGTATAATGATTTTTTGCAAGTGTGTGGAAAGGGCAAAGGAGTATATAAAGTATATTTAGGTTGATCTGGCAAAAGACTACATTATAGTTATGTTTGTCTTAGATCTCCGAAACAGACTTGAAATTTAACTTAAAGAAAGCATTTCTTTTGTCCATAATATCGATCAAAGTCGATTTGTAGACAAGGTTTTTTTTAACTCTAAGTCGTATAGTTTATATAGATTAAACGTATTTCACTTTTTGAATATATCTCGCTTTTCTTTCAACAGCATGTAGAACCTTGCAATATTTACCCACAGATCGGACTCTAAGGCCCAAAGTTAATTATATAGCTTGTGGCCAAAGGAAAGAAAAATATATGACAGTCGGCCTTGCATGTTTCTATTAAAATGTTAAAGGAACTATTCGAATGGTTCTTCCAGCCTAAACCGTGTCTGTTGTAGGACCTCAAGTTAAATGCATAATAAAAATGGCTGCTCAATTTAGCACATTTTTCAATTTAAACGTTTTATAACTGCGGCATTTGATGATGGTGGCCCCTGCCCCCTGGCTCCCCCGCCACCCTAAGTCTGTCGCATTGCTAGGCCGATAAAAAAGAATCGTTAGAAAATGTTGAAAAGTAGCTGCGGCTTTGTGGAATGTGGACAGGGTCTGGAAGGGGTCTGAAATTTCACGCGTCTACAAAATGACCCTTTTCCTGTATGCCAGGCTGACCGAAAACCTTTGAGCATAAATTTGCACGCAACTAATTTCTTCCGTTTCGCATTATTTTCGCAGCTCGAGCTGGCAACGTTTGCAATTTTGCGCATTAAAAAGCCTGACGTGCTATCTTTGCCGCTTTTTATTGTATTTCTTAATGTCCGTCCGAGGGTCGGAGGTGGTGGAAATGGAGCTGAAGGTGGTTCCCCATCCAAAGAAACAACTGCAAAGCAGCAACAGACCAGACGCCAAGTGCCGCAAATGACTTGGTAAAAGCAAAGACAGGACCCTCTGTGCACAGACAGCACAAGTTGTGTCCTTTTGTTGTTTCCGTTCTTGTCGCCATTTGTGTTGCTCCTGTTGTTGTTGTTGCCCTCTTGCTTTTGCTGCGCTTGCGGTTAGTCGAGCGGTTTGTCATTGTGCCGGCTGCCTGGCAGCAGAGAGTATTGTTTGCGCCTTTAAGTGGTTTTTTATCATTTTGCCGCTGACACAATTTATATCCGGTGCTCATATTTCTTATGCTTATCACGAGGCGTCTTTTGCCGCCCCTCCCCCTCTACCACTCTACCAATGCTATGCCCTCGCCGCACCTTATGCTGTGAGCTGCGACATGTGTTGACCAGGCAGACATTTTTAATTATTGTTGAAATGCAGTAACCCATGCGGCGCATAAATTAAGCCACGCCCCTCCAAAGCCGAGCTTAAGCCGCTTTCTGGCTCAGAGCACGTTCCCTAATTAGCCTAATTAAATATATATTCGCGAATATGTAAACAAAAGGCGCAGTTCAACGATTTACGCACTCGACAAAAAAAAAAAAATGTTAACATAAGCATTAATGCGTTTGTAGAGAATGTTCGACTGGGAGATGACCTATCTTTTGTATAAAAATAAAAAACAAACAAAAATTGCTTAATGAAATACATTTATGGGTAATATGACATGTGACATACCTCGAGACAAGTAGAGCATTTATACAATGAAGAGACAGGGAGAGGGAGGCAGGGATAAAAGAGAAAAAGATAGATACATGAAGATAAGGAGAGAGATAAGGAGACAGAGAGAGAGAGATACCGATAGATAGATAAAGATACCTAAAGAGAGAGAGAGAGAGAGAGAGAGAGATACAGAAAGACCTTTATACCAAAGCGAGACGAGGAAGAATAAAGAAGACAAGAAAGACTTTCTGACATAGAGGAGAAGCGCCCTTATATCAAATATTGTTTTCCCCTTGCTATCCATATTAAATAGAGACTACTCCTCGGGAACACAGACATGTCGAGGTACGAATATGCCAAAAATATGGCACTGCAATAAACTTACATTTCCCGAGCTCCTGCGACTGTTATATACATTTGCAGAACATTAAAAGAGCCATCACAATTAAAATGTACAGGGTATGCCAAGTAGTTTTAAACGCTGAATCTCAGACGTCGCAGCTGATTTTAATTTGGCGTCTACGTAAACAATAGAGCAACGCCGACTAGTCAACAAAAGGGAACAACAACAGCAGCAGCAGCAGCAGCAGCGATAAGGCAAGGTGCGGATTGGCCAGGCTGTTCCGTCCTCTCCGGTTTTAGCCAAAAGTGACTTGGCATGACCCGGGCTAGGCGCTCGGTTGACGTTGTGTTTTCTTGTTGTTAGCCTTAGGAAACAATAATGCCAAGTTTGCACAATGAGCTAAAGCGAAAGGCAGCAAAAAAAAAAAAAATAAAAAAATAAAAAAAATAAGAGAAAGAAAAAGGAAAACGTTCGAGCAGTAAAAATTGTAAAGAAGGGAAAAAGGAAAATAGAAGTGGGCCAAGCGCGCACGCTGGCAGGAAAAACGTAGACACGACAACATTGTGGCAGTTGCAGAAATGTTGACTGTCGTCGGTTTGTGGCCAAGTGTCCGGACTGGACAGACGTTCGCGTCTGTCCATTTTGAAGAGTTTGCCTTGGGTCCAACCTCAGCTCAGACTGATGCTCGTTCATTTCTTTTGTCCGCACGCCCACTTTGTCCCACTCTCAAGCTCTGTGTTTGTTTTTTTGTTTTTTCCAACAATTAGTTGAGTTTTATTTATTTTGCGTTAATTGGTAGCACTTTATCTTCTGCTCGAATGAATGAGCCACGTTATTTAAACAAAACGAGCGCGCAAATCCCTCGAAGACCTTCTGGACATGGCCAAGTAATTACGTTTTTGGCAACGCCCAAGGTCTAAACGCATATGTTGGAAGGATCACGCTCCCCACCTTAATCCAATGTATATGTGTGTGTGTATGCATAAAGGGGCTTCTCATATTGCCATTTAATGTTTTTGCCTTTTTATTTTGCAACGCTTACGAAATGCTATTCAAAAAAATTGCAAAAGGGCTGCACGGGGGAAGGAAACGCTACAAAATAAGGGTCCAAAAACTTTTAACACTGTGTGTGTGTGTGTGTGTGTGCGGGTGTGTGTGTGTGAGTTGATGACGTTGACAATAACCATTGAATAATTTTATGACAATATGTGTCAGAGCGTGTCCCTGTCCATATCCTGGCGGCTTCGTCTGGCTGATGGTATTTTTTTTTGTTGTTGCTTCTTTTTTTCTTTTTTGACAGTTTAAACACATGTCCCCCACCTCTGCCTGGCGGGTGTGGTACGCAAAAAAAGACTGTTGACTTCAATTATGCAGCGCCAGACAAAAGTCGGTAAACTATGAGGGCGTGTACAAAGGCCCTCAGCTGCTGCGTGTCCTGGTGTTTGTGGTGCCCGTAACTGGCGCAACTTTTGCCATATTAGGCAGGTGGAAATTGCTTGGGACTGTGACTGGCAGCCCGTATCAAATTATGTGCTTCTGCCACAACAAAAAATAAAAACAAAACAGAAAAAAAAATGGAGTGCGATAAAGCTAGAGCGAGTGGGCGCTATCTATCAGGCGCATGTAACTGAAGCGCCAAAAAGTATGCAATGGAATTCGGCAAAACTGGCAACAAATTTTAAATTGGTTCGCTCGACAAAAAGAAAACAAACAGAAACGCGCGCGGTCGAGAAATATGAATGAAAAAAGAGCTGTTCACGCCCTCATACACAATACACAATGCTCACACACACACAAACACACACACAGCCATATGCAAATGGTTTTACTGCCTCTTTTGTTTTTTTTCTTCCCCCTGCTTCTTTCATGTGTGTATTGGTATTATTATGGAGCCATGCTGTGTAATATCTGTAAATTTCTTTTGTTATTGCCAACAACAGTTTTTCCCAAATTTCCCCCCTCCTCACCATGCCATTACAGTGAGGGACAACAGCCCCTTTCTCGCAGTGTTGACATTTGTTGGCATCATTCCGCACATTGTTGCCGCTGGTGTTTTTTGTTTTGTTTACTTTACGCTGGCGCTTCTTCTTTGCTTTTACTATATAATTTGTAGCATATGAATATACATATCTATATATATATACATATTTGAAAACAAAGAGAAAAAAAAGGAAGGGAAAATTCGCATACACATATAAAACGTAAACTCCTCCATGATGGCCAAGTTCAAATTTATGCAGTGTTGCCCAATAAATTTGGCAATAAATT